TATGTGAATGGCCTCATGAACGAATCTCTCATGGTAGCCGGTTGGTTTGCAAAGAATCTCCGTCTTGGAGAAGTCAATGTCATGTGAGCCCACTGAATTATAACAGTGATCTGCCACGGAAGAGGAGTTCGTTCTATCGTGTTTCAAGTCTGCTTTATGTTCGCGGATGCGGTCCGAGATATGTCGTTTGGTTTCTCCAATGTAGCTACTGCCACAGAGGCACTTTTGTTTGTAAACGCCCGGGTACTGTATGTCTGGAACAGCATCTTTTACACATGGAACCAGATCACGGATTTTATGTACTGTGTTGAATCGGACCTGGATCTTGTGTTTATTCAGGATTTTGGAGATCTTTTTAGTGACCCCTGCAATGTAGGGTAAGGCGATGGTTTTGAGTGGCTCCACAAGAGGATCCTTCTTCATGACTGGAGTGATGGCTTTGCGGATTGTGTAGTCGGAGTAACCATTAGCCCTGAGAGCCTGGTGTACGTGCTTGAGTTCACTGGTAATGTGTTCCTGGTCGGAAATGCATTGGGCTCTATGGTATAGAGTCTTGATGAGGGAGTTCTTCTGGGATGGATGGTGGTGGGAATCCGGTTTCAAGTAAGCATCTGTATGGGTAGCTTTCCTGTAGACAGAGTGGCTCATTGAACCATCATGTCTCCTTTTAATTAAGACATCCAAAAAGGGTAGTTTGCCATCTTTTTCGACCTCCATGATAAATCTGATGGCTGGGTGTATGGAATTGATGTGGTCGCGGAATTGGTCTAGAGCAGGCTGGCCATGTGGCCAGATGACAAAGGTGTCATCCACGTACCTCTTCCATAAGGTCGGGCGTAGAGTGGCAGTCTGGATGGCGTCAGTTTCAAATTTTTCCATGAATACGTTGGCTACAACCGGAGATAGGGGGGAGCCCATTGGGGTGCCCTCAGTTTGTTTGTAGAAAGTTCCATTCCAGGTGAAGTATGTGTTGGTTAAGCAATGGCTCACCAGGGGGGGTACATCGGTGTGCAGTCCTTGATGAACCAGGTCTTCAATGATAGCGATGGTGTCAGGTACCGGGACTTTGGTGAACAAGGACACCACATCAAAACTGACAAGCAGGTCTTCTGGCGACAGGGAAATGCCTTTGATTGTCGATACCAGGTGAGTAGAATTTAGTACCGCAGAGGTGGTTTTTCCAGTGAAAGGTCGCAGTATATCAGCAAGAAAACGTGCCAGTTTATAGGTGGGGGAGTTGATAGTAGAGACGATGGGACAAAGGGGTGTATCTTCTTTGTGTATCTTTGGAAGGCCATATCATCTTGGTGGTCTGGCAGCAGAGGGTTTCAACGAGAACTGTTTGGTCTCATCAATTAATGCTGTTGAATCAGAGATGATTTTGTTCGTTTTGGTAACCAGGCTGTTGGTGGGATCTCTTTTTATTTTTGTATAGCTACCATCGTTGAGTAGTTCTTGAATTTTTTTGTTATATTCTGTTTTGTCCATGATGACAATGGCATTGCCCTTGTTGGTTGAGAGGACGACAATATCATCTCTCTTTTTTAATTGAGATAATTCAAAACGTTCGTCTTTGCTGATGTTGCTGGGTGGCAACTTAGCGTTTTTGAGGGTTGCAGCGATTTCAGATCTTGCTACGTTTGCAGCGATGTGACTCAAGCCCTTGAGTGCAACGTCGACATGGGCAATGATATAATTAACCGGTAAGTGTCTCGGTGTGACAGCAAAGTTTAGACCTTTAGCTAAAACGGATTTCAAACCATCAGAAATGGAACTGTTACTGCGATTAATTACGACTTTGTTGACGTCTATCTTTTCGGTGTGTGGATCCGATTTTTTGCTGGAGAGGTGATTGAATTAGGAAATCAAATTGTCCCTACATTTGGTCGACATAGTGGCAGCCAAAGAGGTAGTCATATTGTCTGCATGTTCCCAATCCGATGTAGACATTGTTGCTGTCAATGTTAAGTGTGATTTGTAGAGTGTCTTGTCTAACTGATCGAGTTCCGTGCGTGTAAGTCTGATTTTTTCCGAGATAAGAGCGAAGCTAGTTCTAGCTAGAATTCGTTTTGCATTGAGAGAAGTTGCAACAGCAGAGGTTAGTGTAAATGCGGTTGCTATTACCTTAGAGTCGCGGCATCTCTTCAGAAAGGTGAGAGACTCGATTAGTTGAGCCTTCTTATCCCGGAGTCTGTTGAATGATCTTAAGGTGGTGTGGAATCCCTCTCTGTAGAGGCGGTTAAATTTCGATTTAAAGCTTTCGTGACTGCAAGGATTCATCTTCTTTGGTTCTTTCGGTAAAGTCACGTAGGATGAGAATAAAATAATAAATTGATAAAATAAAATAACACAATAATATTCTCACAACGTTTCGGCCACAACACAAGCGGCCTTCATCAGGTGAAGGGGGAGGACGAGACTGTCTGGAGGACAGCGCTGGAGTGAGAAAGCCACGCTGAGATCACGATCTTTAAGCTGTGTGAGAAGAAACAAAGCACCTTGACAAAGGAATTAGCATATAATTTAGCATTGAAATGGCTGAGTGATTAGCTTGTGACTGGTCACAGAAAAGGCTATGTTAAAGTTAAAGCATACACATCTGCAAAGGCACCCCTTGACAAAGGAATTAGCATAGAATTTAGCATTGAAATAGCTAAGTTAAAGTATACACATCCGCAGAGGCACTCCTTGACAAAGGAATTAGCAGAGAATTTAGCATTGAAATAGCTGAGTGATTAGCTTGTAACTGGTCACAGAAATAGCTATGTTCAAGTCAGAGCATATACATTCACCGAGGCACCTAGTACAAATCAAACAGGAGAATTTAGCATTGAAATAACTAGGCGAATTTAGCATTGAAATAACTGAGTGAATAGCTTGTGACTGGTCACAGAAATGGCTATGTTGAAGTTAAGGCCTACACCAACCGGCTACCATGAGAGATTCGTTCATGAGGCCATTCACATATGCAAGCTCAGAGACAATTTCAACCGAGAAGATGTATTCTGGCTTAGTAACCATTGGAAAGATGTTTTAAACCATTTCCGTTCTTAATTAATTGTATTTTACGATGACCTTCAGACCGCAGCTCTTTCGCTGGCATTGACTCTTAATACCTCTCACACCACGGTTAATGGTATGGTTTACAACATGGAGTATAACAGCGCCTCGCAGCTGTCACTCTCCCCCTCCTCTGTTCCGACCATGGATGAACTCGTCCGTCTGAATGCGACCCGTAGCTATCCGTGTTGCTAAAGTTGAGGGTAAGAATCCACCCATTTTTCGCCATATAGGATTGTGATATATAACGACTTATTGTTGGTAGCTTACCTGATTGGAGAATATAGAGTTTATTGATAACATTGAGGTAATTTATATTTTAGTATTTTTTATTGGTTCACTATATAGTATTCATTATATATTGTATTGTATACCCAGTTACTGTGAATAGCTCAGATGTGTAGGCCTTGACTTCAACATAGCCATTTCTGTGACCAGTCACAAGCTAATCACTCAGTTATTTCAATGCTAAATTCGCCTAGTTATTTCAATGCTAAATTCTCCTGTTTGATTTGTACTAGGTGCCTCGGTGAATGTATATGCTCTGACTTTAACATAGCTATTTCTGTGACCAGTTACAAGCTAATCACTCAGCTATTTCAATGCAAAATTCTATGCTAATTCCTTTGTCAAAGAGTGCCTCTGCGGATGTGTATACTTTAACTTAGCTATTTCAATGCTAAATTCTATGCTAATTCCTTTGTCAAGGGGTGCCTTTGCGGATGTGTATGCTTTAACTTTAACATAGCCTTTTCTGTGACCAGTCACAAGCTAATCACTCAGCCATTTCAATGCTTAAATATATGCTAATTCCTTTGTCAAGGCGCTTTGTTTCTTCTCACACAGCTTAAAGATTGTGATCTCAGCGTGGCTTTCTCACTCCAGCGCTGTCCTCCAGACACTCATCCCCCCCCCTTCACCTGATGAAGGCCGCTTGTGTTGTGGCCGAAACGTCGTGAGAATATTATTGTGTTATTTTATTTTATCAGTTTATTATTTTATTCTCATTCTACGTGACTTTACCGAAAGAACCAAAGAAGATTACTTCGGGTTGTTTAAACCACCCGTGACTCGACCACCTGTTCGTCCTCATGTGACCCACTCTCCTTGTATGTCTGTATGTACTGTATGTGGCCAATTCCTATGCGTATCGTTTACTCCACTACATCTCTGTAGCAGCACAGCTTTTGTCTTCGTTGAGGGATTTTGTGGCGGGACAGCGAGACCAGTTTAAGGCTTTTGAAAGGGCAGCCTGAAATGGGACAGGTGTCTCTCAGTCACATAAGCACGATCGTCAGCAAAAGAGGAAACGCAAAATATTTGCAGATGAGAGCTCAGAGCCAGGTCTGACACTTGAGGGGAGGGAGAAGTTCAAAAGAGAAAAGTTGTATGTGGTCATTGATAAGCTCGTGGCATGCCTTGAACATCGCTTGGACGCTTACAAGCATTTGACCAGTCTCTTTAGAGTTCTGTTTATGTCAGATCAGGTGTCTAACAGTGATGTCATCGTGGAAAAGGTAAATGCGCTCTCCACTGCATGTCTGACTCTGAGGGTGAGAAGTGGCCAACTAAATTGCTTGAGACGTTGCAGACACTTAATCTGCGGTCAGTGTTCCCCAATGTTTTCGTGGCACTTCAGATTTTTCTAACTTTGCCAGCGACAAACTGCCAGGGTGAGCGGACATGATCCCTTTTAGGCAGAATAAAACATTAGCTGCCGAGTAGCATGTGCCAAACACGTCGCAGCTCATTGTCACTTATGCCAATAGAGTCAGACCTTGTCAGACAGCTAGATTTTGACGATCTAGTAGGTTACTTTTCGAGGAGGAAGACAAGAAAGACACCAATATAGGAAAGCGGGGGGGGGGGGGGGTATGCGTCGAAAAGACATGTGCCCAGGGGCCTCACGGGACCATGATCCGGCCCTGGGTACAGTAAATAACCATCACTGGCGACAAAAAAGGCAGTCAGATTTGGTTCTTGCCACCCCCACCCCTTCGTGTGCTGTCTCAGCCTTAAAAGGTGATCGCGAACGCAGCATGCCTCAAGAGTCAGGTGAAGGCCATACAGTACGTGCCATAGGTGCTACGTGCTCCCGCTGTGAACACGAAGCCGTTTTTCCAGTTCTCTGCAATCTGCGTACACGGGAGTTGTGACTTCACGGGCAGCTCAGAGGATCCTGGCGACTGACAGGTTCGCGAGTGGAGGAGCGGCCAAGCTTGTTCAACTGCTCTGTTGTGCGCATGTAAAGGTATTTTTACATTTCTAAACACGAGACTTATACTATTTTATTGAGACGTAGATACACGCGGCAAAGTTCTATAATTAATTATCCTGAATGCAAATCGCCGTATTAATGTTTCCCGGCAGATTGTCACTGCAGTAGAAATGAATGCAAATCAACACAGCTTATGCTGCGTTCAATCTTGATTTGAAGCTTTCGTGACTGCAGGAATCCATACTCTTTGGTTCTTTCGGTAAAGTCACGTAGGTAGAAAAATGATCACGACGTTTCGATCGCAACACAAGCGATCGTCATCAGGCGAAACAGAACCCGGCAGTAGAACTGCTGAACAACATAGCGAGAGAGCTGCTACAACAAGGGGTTATATATGTTTGTGCTTGCGTGCGGGATGGGGTGTAGTCCAAGGGCAAGCAAATAGCTTAGTTAAAGTATACACATCTTAGCTATTTCAATGCTAAATTCTATGCTAATTCCTTTGTCAAGGGGTGCCTTTGCGGATGTGTATGCTTTAACTTTAACATAGCCTTTTCTGTGACCAGTCACAAGCTAATCACTCAGCCATTTCAATGCTTAAATATATGCTAATTCCTTTGTCAAGGCGCTTTGTTTCTTCTCACACAGCTTAAAGGTCGTGATCTCAGCGTGGCTTTCTCACTCCAGCGCTGTCCTCCAGACAGTCTCATCCCCCCCCCCCTTCACCTGATGAAGGCCGCTTGTGTTGTGGCCGAAACGTCGTGAGAATATTATTGTGTTATTTTATTTGATCAATTTATTATTTTATTCTCATTCTACGTGACTTTACCGAAAGAACCAAAGAAGATGAATCCTTGCAGTCACGAAAGCTTTAAATCACATGCTGAAGCTTTTACTGATCAAGTCCCGTTCTCTCGTGACATTTTTTGCCAAATGTTTGGTGTTTTTAGGCCGACCATGGTGTCGAAGGGTCAAGTGAGTGAGGGAAGTGAGCTCAAGAGTTTACCTCAAGAAGATATCACTTTCACTTCATTTCGAACAACACCATCACCATCATCACACCCCCATCATCATCCAAGGTAAATACAACTTAGAGATGTATTGATTATATTTGTCTGTACTGTGTGTGGTATTATATATTTGTATAGTTGTACAGTTGAACTGGAATCGTTGACTCATTTGCTAGTAAGATACTACTGAAGTTTTGAAATGCCCTTTAAACGCCCATGGAAAAAATGATGGCAAGCATGATGCCTACACATCATTTCTGAGAAATGCAGCACAGTTCTGGGCCACTGATGCCCAGTCATTGTCAGGTATTGAACATTCAAAAGTGCTCCTTCTGTCAACAAGGACATTATAAAGGTGATCACCATAAGTTATCTACATGTGATGCTGAAAAAAATGTGAAAGACATAGCCACAAAAATACAATACACTGAGCTTTTAACTAAAATTGGAGATCTAGTTGCCATAGAGGCAAAACACCATTTGAAATGGCTTGTAAAATGTATAAATATGTATCGCAGACTAATTAGGAGTAAAATCAAGACTATCAAGAACATATGGAAAATTAATGAGTCTAGAGCAGTGGTTCTTAACCTTGTTGGAGGTACCGAACCCCACCAGTTTCATATGCGCATTCACCGAACCCCTCTTTAGTGAAAAATAAAATGTGATTTTTTTCAAATTCAAGACATAGATATGTTTTTTACTGGTACACAAAATGAGCCGTGCATGAACATTACCTTGTTCAAAGAATAAAACCAACACAATGCATAAACTCACAACAAATTACATACCTGGAAATCAATGTGACTTCTGCTGTTGCCTTTGAGAGATCAGTTCAGATATGCGTGGCTTCACCTTGGCAAGTGCCACTCTCATGTCATTTTCACAGCAAAGTCTGTTCCTTTTCTTCGTTTTTATGTCCAGCATCCTCGAAAAGGATTGCTCACAAAGATATGTTGTAACAAATGGTATAAAAAAATCCAGGGCTTTCTTAGCAATAACTGGATACTTGTTCATTTGTCGACACCAAAACGTTGAGAGCATTGTTGTTCTGAAGAGTTGCTGTTGAACCTGGCTCTGCTGAATTTCAATGATTTCGTCGAGGAATTCATCATTGACATCTGCTGTTTCAACAGCAAACGTGAACGGCTGTCTCACCCATGCTGGATATGACTCTCTTGTAGGGAAATATCCGTCGAGAGACTTTGCAAGCTCATCTAAGTGCGTGGCAATTGTTTGCTTCAGTTCCGTGGATACAGAAATATCTCCGATTCCAGACACATCTTCGATCTTACTTGCACAGTCGTCCAGAAGCGGGAAGTTTGCGAAGTTATTGTTCTCTGTTCGTCGTTTCCATAACGGTAGCTTTTTTTGAAAAGCTTTCAGGTGTTCTTCCGCTTCCATGATATTGACTCCACCACCCTGCATCTGCTGATTGAGATGATTGAGAGCTGCGAATATATCAGCCATGTACGCTAAAATGAGAATGAACTCAGGATTTTTGAAGCAATCTGCATGGCAGTGTTGGTGCTCTTGCAAAAACAGGGCTAATTCCACACGCATGGCAAAAAACACGATTCAGCACCTGTCCCCGGGATAACCACCGAATATTAGAATGGAGCAGAAGTACCTCAAATTCAGAGCCCATTTCTTTACACAGCTCACTGAAGATGCGGTGCCTCAGAGCACTTTTTCGCACATAGTTCACACATTCCACCACAGTTTTTAATACTTCTGCCATTTTTGGAGGTAAGGTTTTTGTTGCCAACGCATGCCTGTGCAGAATACAATGCGTCACAATGATGTGTGGTGCATCGGCCTTTACTAGCGCACCAAAACCAGACTTTCTTCCCAGCATGACTGGAGCTCCGTCCGTACAAACTGCAGAAACCATATCCCATGAAAGATTGTTGTCTCTGAAGAAGTCATCCACAAGCTTCTTCACATCGGCTGCCTTCGTTGTTGTTGTAAGAGGCTTACAAAATAAAAACTCTTCTTTTATCATGTCGTCTTTCACATAGTGTACAAAAACAGCAAGCTGGCTTAGATCAGAAACGTCTGTGGTTTCGTCGAGTTGAAGGCTGAATTTTGCCGGGCTTGAAATCAGATCCGCGATTACTTGAGCCAAGATGTCTTTACTCATGTCTTCTATTCTGTCACTGACGGTGTCATTTGAAAGGGGAATTTGGGATAATTTACCTTCGGCCGCTGTTCCGAGTATCAGATTCGCCATCTTTAATGCAGCTGGTTTCACAAGTGTTTCACCAATGGTGTGTGGCTTGCCCTGCTTTGCGATCAGGTAAGCAACTTCGTACGATGCTGTCAGGATCGGTTTGTTAACAGGTACAAATCCAAGAGCAGGCAGAGTGGCCCTTTCATCGGATCTGGCTCTCTTCACCCTGAATTCAGCAAGTGTTGTGTTCTTGTATTCCCCGTCTCCATGCAGCTTCAAGAAGTGTTCCTTTAGTTTTGCCGGTGCAAGACTAGAGTTGCTCAACTTGGCGTTGCAAATCATGCAGATAGGACGCTCACTCCCATCACGTTCCGTGATACATGAGAATCCATGTTGTACATATTCGTCCGACCACTTTCTTCTTTTGCCCGACATAGTTAGTATGGATAAAATATTAAAGAAATCACACGACGCACGACAACAACAGTCACACGTTGACTACTGAGTACGCACTAAATTCCCCGCAGCGCTGATTGGCCAAGCAGTGTAGCATGATCATCTGCAGCCAGTGATGGCCAAGCGGGCCGTGTGTGTCATCACAAATTTACACAATAATTCAAGTGTGTCCGGACCTCCGTGGCGGGGGCTCTGCCGAACCCCTGAGATCGACTCACCGAACCCCTGGGGTTCGATCGAACCCAGGTTAAGAACCACTGGCATGTGCAGAGCTCACCAGCTCCTCTTTAAGTTAACTAACCCTCACTCTGTGGATCCCCTCCAAGACCTGGGCTTCAAAGTCGCCAATAAGACCGGACTGAAAAGACAACTGATTGGATGCTTTACAGAAGCTTAGCAACAGTATGATGGCAGAAACACTCTTACCATTTTCTAAAAAGTAATTAAAACTATGCGGAGAGTAGCCCTAAGATAGCGAGACTTGACTGAAGATGCTGTTTCTCTCACTAAAGCTGTGTTAATAATAAGGAAATGCATATTTGAACTTTATTGCTTCAGATGCTCTGGTGACTTCGCTAAGAGGACTCCCTGCCCTCAATCCTCAAGTACATCCTTTCAATGACTCTCAATGGCCTCAGATTCAAATAACAAGACATACGAGCATCCCAGAACTACCTCACTGTTGGTCAGACGATTATCTACAATATAAAGCAATCTGAATCAAATGTACAAAGCAGGCATGGCTCAGCAAAACACAGGAACAGGGTTTCCAGGAGAATGCCATTGAAAATCGCACGAAAACAATTCATGGTACTATCATGAAGAACTCTCTCGCTCTTTGTAGGAACCCAAAAGTCAAGGAAAAGTCAAAGCTGAGTCAAAGGATGAAAGTGCTTCAGATTTGTGTTGCCTAATTTGGCCAGCTTTACATTTCCAAGCAGAACTGAGACGCGGATTTCATGGAATTCTTTGCTCATAAGATACAGTGCTTCCCACCTTTTATTTCCGACTCTGGCAAGCTCAGTTGGCCAGGCATGACTTTTGAACTACTACAATGTGTGGAACAGCAAGGAAAACTATCCTGGAAAACTGAAAATACCATGAACATCCTCACCTGGAGACCCCGGCACAGATGTGTATACGCCTTGGCAGCGTTGAAGGAAGAATAACTGGAATACGAGGCAATATAGTCCCCACTTCTTGAGAACCCCGCATAACACACAATACCTGAACGATGATGGGTGAGCAGGGGGCTGTATAGAGAGGACTGGACCACAGACACCAAATTACTTTATCACAATTTGAGTGACTGTTCTTCCCAGGAAATAAATAAGGTAGTTGTTATATCCGTATCCTTCATTTGGCCATACACCCTCCCTTCTTCCCTCTATTTCCCCCCTCCCCTCCCTTCATTAACCCCGACCATTGTCCCGAGTGTTGTAGGGAAATTAACTCTGGGTACTCTCACCGGACCCCATTACGGAGATAATTACTCAGAGGGCGCGACCTCTGCTCAATAATTCCCGCGTGCGAATCTGTATAACCTCTGTTCTGTTTGGGTGGCAGGTTCAATAAAAAATATGTTATAAATGTATAAACACCTAAGCCACTTACAACTTTGGAATCTAAAGTGGTGCAGTCCTTGTTCATTGCCTGCCCATTGTGCACAATTAATTTAAGCAGGCTAAGAGGGTGGAAATCGTGTGGGACACTTACATTTTGGGCAGTTTAAAATAGTCCCCCCGGAATAAAGGGAAATAGGTGTGTTCAGGAAAGTGTCACGTGAAACAACATTGCTCGGCACGTGGATGGACTTTCTTTGTGACCCACTGAACAAGCGTGAGCTTTTTTGTTACTGGCTTCCAAGGTTGTAGCTGCCACATGTCAACCAGACAAAGCGACATACATCACAGAAGGAGAGTCTGTAAAATCCATTGGTTTGATACTCCCCATGTGTAAATGCAATCACGTGGAAGCTGATACCAGGATTTCTAGCGGCGTTAACGATGAACTGGAACACGGTCTCGAGTCTCTGTTTATCTATGCCTCCTCCTTCCCCCCACCTGCATTGACGTCAGCAGGACGAAGTTTTCTGTGCCTGTGCTGGTGGTGCTGATTGGAGTCGCGATGGTGGCGTGCTTGGTAGCACTGGTGGTGAATCGCACACATGAGGCTCCTAACAACACCTGTGAGTGCTTGTCACAAATCCGTACATGCCAGCACCCCGCCCTCCCACCAACCCCTCTACCACCACCATGATCATTATCGCACACATGAGGCTCCTAACAACACCTGTGAGTGCTTGACACAAACCCGTACATGCCAGCACCCCGCCCTTCCCCCAACCCCTCTACCACCACCATGATCATTATCATCATCTTCATCACCACGTTCACTACTTAAATCAATACGACCACCACCATCGATCACTACCGCCACCGCTACCATGCACACATCCACCACCACCGTCACCACCATCACCATTATCACCACAATCATTTCCACAAACATCAATACTACCATCAAAATGATCCACATCCAGCATCATGATCGGCATGATTACCAGCACTACCATCACCCAGCATCAGCACCATTACAAGCACGATCACTACTGTCATAACTAACCATTGGCGCTTTGTGTCTCCCCAGCCACATCTACCTCCACGCGCTTGGCTCAAACATTCCACTTGGCCTCCTATTATGGTCCTGCAGAGGGGACCACATGGCGCCTTCGTGTGGGGGTTCGGGAAGGCAGGAGCCGAGGTGGTCGTGAGACTCTACAATGGGAGCAGGGACTTGCTACAAGAGCACAGGAGCAACGTGTCGGCAGGTCTCTCTTTCCACCACGCTGCTACCTAAGGCCTCCTTATTCATGAGCGACGTAAAAACGATTCTCTGTGGCACCCTTGTTTGTGCGAGGCCCGGAGCTAATTGATAATTGTTCTTCCTGCCCCGCTGGAGTGCCCTTATCCTGGGGTCTGAGTACTAAAGGTGTCAAGAAAATTAAGTGGGAAAGGGTAGGACACATGGCTAGTTACAAGAGACAATTGGACAATGTTAAAGAATAATGGCGTGGTAGACAAAATAATGGAATGTGTCCAAGAGGATGAAATGGAGTGACTATTTAATTTAATGTGCAGGTGCTGGATGGATTTTTTCATCACAAAATCATAAGAGGTGGTGGTGGCTTGGGAAATCCTTCATCCAGTAGTGGTGTGACCATGGCTGATGATGATTTAAAAAAATGCTGTCAAGAGGCAAATGTGCTGACCAATGTACTACATAACCAGTTCCCTCATAGCCAGTCCTTTCACACAAGAGTTGTTATGTTTAACCTTTCAGTTCACCAAAGGGCACACCCTTTTCACAAAGCGCCAAGGTAGCTGGACACATGATACGAACGCAATAGTATAGTGCTCATTTATACAGTGCCCTTTAGGAAACCATAAGATAAATAACCCCAATGTGATACATGATATATTTGCCTCTTTTGCAAGAGTGACCTGGGTTATTGATTGCAAGTGAACTAGGTCACGAAGCGAAGACAAGCAACAGCTTAAGTTTAAAAAGGGCAATGATTAATCAAGGCCCCGTGCGTGAGGAGAGATTTTGTAGCAGCACACTGCACTCCAAACCCAGCGCCCCAAGTTCGATTCCCACTCACGGCCAATACCAATGATGAGTATTATCTGCACTGGTGCTGGGCCTTTCCGAGGTCGACTCAGCCCAAAAGAGTATCTGGTGCAGTGTGTAAACAGCAGCACTGGGAAAACAAAGGCAACTAGGCGTGGTTCTGGCCAGCAACCCCCTCTTCTGCCATGTCAGTGCTCACTAACAACACTTGTCCCAACAATCGCTTAAGCCCTACTGGTTTGCCGTGCGGTGGTGGCTATGCATGCCTGTAATCCAACACTGTAGAGGATTGGTGAATGGGAGCGATAGTGTCGCGGTTAGCGCTACACTGCACTATGAACGCAGCGGCCCGAATTCTATTCCCGCTCACGACCACCACCAGTGACGATTATCTGAACCGGTTTGGGCCTTCCCTAGGTTCACTCAGCCTCGAATGAGTACCTGGTCCGGTGTGTAAAAACATTGCCACTGGGGAGACAAAGGCGGTCGGGCGTGGTGCTGGCCACCCACCCCCTCGTGTGCCGGGCCTTCGTAGCTCCTGTGCCGGGCCTCGTGTGCCGGGCCTCGCTAACAGCACTTGCCTCAACAGTCTGTTAAATGTTGTGCGGGGCATCTTTGTCTAGAGTCACAAACGTGGTCCGTCACCCTGGACCCCATGGATGCTGGGGGGCCGTTCTCTCTCAATGCCACCCAGTGGAGCCCTGTGGGGAGCGGCCCTGGGGGGGAAGTGGCGTGGGCGGAAGTTGTGATCAGCGACGTCTGGTTCGGGGAAGTTTGGCTTTGCGTGGGGCAGAGCAACATGCAGATGACTGTGAACCAGGTGAGCAGGTTTCTTTTCGCCCGGTACTGCCAGTCAGCAAATTCCGGCCACCGTCACTCTTCCCCACCCCCTACTCATTAGGCTCATTCTTTGTGGATGCTGACGTCCTTGCCATCGCCCTCGCTGGGCAGGTGGGGCGCGACATCCGCCTCCTCCACTCCCTCCTCCACCACGTCGATCGGCTCTCACCGTGTCTGAGCAGATGGTTGTAAATGTATAACAAGTTACCATGCGGCATAGTTAAATAATATTGTTTAAACACCATTTCCACATGGCTCCTAATAACTCGCTTCAAGGTGTTGAGTACCGACTCTCTTGAATGTAGTTTTACATGCCTTGAAGTCGCTGTGTAGCTTCTTGACGACAAAAAAAATTAGGTACAATTCTTGTTTTGATGGGAGTGGTTAGGAAGGGTTAGGGGTAGTGATAGGGGTAATGATAAAATAAGTGATATATGTAGTGGTCGAGGTAGTGGTAGGGGTAGCGATAGGATTAGTGAGTGGTAGGGGTAATGATAACAGTAGTGATATGGGTAGTGATAGGGTTGTAGGGGTAGTGATATAAGTAGTGATGGTGGTAGTGATAAGAGTAACGATGGGGTGGTGATAGGGGCAGTGATAGGGGTAGTGATCGGAGTAGTGATTGGGGCAATGATAAGGACAGGTTATACAGGTAGTAATAGGGGTAGTGATAGGAATACTGATAGGGGTCGTGATAGGAGTGGTGATAGAGGTAGGGGTAGTGATACAATTAGTGATAGGGGTGGTAATAGGGACAATGATAGGGACAGTGATAGAGGCAGTGATAGAGGTAGTGATATTATTGATATGGGTAGTGATAGAAGTAGTAGTAGAGGTAGTGGTAGGAGTTCGGGTAGCCTGAGTCGTAGCTGGGAGGTGGGCTAGGGCAGAAGAGATGGTGGCTGTTTTAAAGCAGGAGCAGAATCTGCAGGTTTTTATAGTGAACATGTTGTTTTATGTGCAGCGAGCGTTGTTCCAGTGAAGGGGAACTAGAAGGGAAATGGAACGAGAACGAGACTGGGCACAGGGCGAGGGAGGAACAGAGAGGGACTCGAGAGACTTGCAGTGAGGAGGACGGGATGGAACAGAGAAAGAAATGAGACAAGCAAGATATAGTGTGACAAGACCATTAAAGGAATGAAAGTAAATATGCGGTCATTTGTAACGCATTGCCTACAAGGCACCCTCGCGTTTGTTTTGGCAACATATATGCAGGAGAGAAATCTTGCGTAAAATAAATCAGATTCACTCGCATGTAAGATTACATGATCAGTATCTACATGGTTTCTCCGTACGGAAAAAAATGTGTTTGCCGCGCGGAATAAATAAATGGTCATTTGACTGCATTTTCACGCATGGTGCCGAGCATTCGCCCAGTGCTATAGGTGCGGGGTAAACAATTTACTTATAACACTCGCACGCATATTAACATACATGCCTCAGAGTTTCGGCGAGCTAAAATGTTTGCTATGGCTAAAATAAATAAATATAATCATAAAGGTTTTTTGGGTTGAGTCGCATAAATATAAATGTGTAATTTACCCACCACCCAACAGAGCCAATTAGTAAGGGTTTCAACATCAACAAAACGTGCCAATTAGTTAATACTTCAGCACACCGGTCTGTTGGAGAGTAAACCCATGACAACTACAATTTGAGTATGACATTTTGCTGGTAATTACAACCAGTTTGATCAGGCGATTTGCCACAATTGTGAAGACATATTCCTGTTTCGGTTTTAAATAGAGTAAAGGGGATGTCATCACTATGAGCCTATCAGGTGCTAAAACCAGAGTGGAGTAAATGTAGTCATATATACTACACTATGCCGTACCTATTACCTGTTGGGTTAATCACAGTGAATCAACATACAGTAGAAGGCTTTTTGTGTTCAGTTCAGTTTGTTGTCCTTCCAGATACCTCCGATTAGCATGGTTGGCTACGTACTGGTCCAAAGAAGTTCACATACATATGTAAGAAAGCTCCTTGCAGACATCCATTTTCAGGGGAGTAGAGATTTATTTCTCTGAAAGTATATACAGTCCGAGTGTAACGACTGCCACACTCATAATTGCTATGGCTATCTTCAGCCCCGATGGTTTCAACCAAGTGGGTTCTCGAACAGCCAGCCCCCATGATTTCCAATTAGTTGATCTCAAACAGTCAGCCCTGATGTCGTCCACTTCTGGTCGTCGATTAGTCCCTGAGCAAGCACCCCCCCCCCCCCCCCGCAGGCCTCTCTCCCCCTTATATACTCGCTCAGCCCTGCCCCTATTGGACAGTGGCCCTCCCACTTTACTGTAACACGTGTGTCCTTAATTGAATAATGATTAGTGCCTAATGGCCACCTGTTTCCAACCATCTTGTACAGTCTCCTACATAACACCCCCCCCCCTCCCCCGAAAAATATAGCCGGCCTGGCTACAACTCTAATTTTGATGATAGGGGACTGGACACTGAGATCTCACAAGGGCCATGGGATGCTAAACATTTAACCTCTAGGTCGACGCAGAACATAGGCCCTTGAAGCAAGGGGGGGGGGAGGCATTATGACCCAAAATGACCGCTGCGTACCGCAGATATAGTCAGCTAAGCTAAACTATGCGTTAACTACCCTGTTAAGGGTGAACATTACAACACGAGGCAATACAGAGCCAAACAGTACCCTCACATGTGTAAACCGACCCTCCCTGACTCACCTGTCCCGGCGAGTCAGGGAGGGTCGGTTTACACTGGACCACTCCCGTTGTACACGTGCATGACTCTTTGCACGGTAGCTTTGCTAAGGCATCGGCATTACAATGATGAGTACCCTTCCTGTGTGTGACATCGTACGAGTATTCCTGGAGTTTTTCAATACACCTTGCCATCTGTCCCGAAGGTTGATCCATTCTTAGCGAGAATTGCAATGCTGCATGATTGGTCCGCACGGTAAACCGGCGGTGGTATAGGTAGGGCCGAAAAAACGTGACAAAATTTACCACTGGTAGGAGTTCTCTACGAGTTACACAATAGCGTTGTTCAGCTATGGGAAGCTCTAGACTCCTGTACGCAATTACCACTTCCGTTTTCCCCTGTATTTGTGACAACACAGCACCTATACTAACATCACAAGCATCAGTCTCCAGAATGAACGGTTGTGAAAAATCCGGATATGCTAACCTTGAACGAAGCGCATGAAATGCTGATTCTTCTTCCTCCCCCCACCGGAATCGCACCCCTTTTGGTGCGAGGATGTGTAAGGGTTTCTCTACTGTACAAATCGGGGTTCAAATCTGCAGTAGTTGGAGGCAAATCCTAGGAATAATCGCACTTCCTGCACTGAAGTGGGTGTCAGCCAATTCTTATTGGCAGACGTTTTCTCAGGGTCTATTGCTATACCCTTCCTGCTAACCACATATCAAAAATAACACCCTACAGGATTTGCCCCTATCGCTCCTGATAAAACCGGTGTCCCCGTAGCCGCTGCTACAACCTGTCTCACGAGTTTCTTCAATTATGCTTTTGATGTTGCTCAAATTTGCCCTGTTGTGTTGCCCTGAGTTGCTACGATCGAGTGGTGTGCAGGTGATAGTGGTGATGAGGTGTTTGATGATGAGGTTGTGTGTGTGGTCTGGCCGGGTTTCCATGGTGTTACGACTAGCCTGATTGTTGGGAAGTCCTACGGTGTTGCCCAAAGCTGGCTTGGTTATCTCAGGTCGACTTCCCTTCAGCATCTTCTTGCGATGTGTCCCGGCCTCCCCCAGTGGTTGCAGTAGATCTCCGCACGATCCCGGGTTCCTCCGTGGGTCTGCCATGGTCACTGCTGTTGTTGTTCACGCCATAGGCTGTTGAATCCCCAGATGGCCAGTGCCATCCCCTCCAAGGTCACCTGAAGATCACCATCCAAGTAGGCCCAGTGGTGGCCGCCGTTGTTGCTGCTCCTGTCTCTACTTTCCGTCACCTTTGTCACCTGCGCCACCATCTCACATGGCACTCTTGCTTTTTTGTGTGCCCGGAGGCACTTTGTCAACTACATAAAAGTCTGGTCGCTCTCCAGCACAATTTGCAATACAAGGCCGCTCCGATGAATGAGGCCTCGCAATCGCTTTGCCACCAGCGCATCCCGTGCTGCCTCATTCATCCGCGGAAACACAACAATTGCGAGCACCAAGAAGGTGCTATGGTATGCCATCAGTGGCTCCTTCTCTCCTCTCTGCCGGGCTGAAGATCGCTGCCTTGCACTAAATGGAGGGCATAAAATCTCTGCAATCCCCTTGCAGGCCTGTCATAGCATGGCGTATTGACTCTCTGGAATTATGTAGAAGGCCATCAGTGCTCCATCATCAAGCATTGTGGGTAGCGCACGAAGGGCCTCCTCGCACAATCTGCTGACCTTGATGGTGGCTTCAAATCTTTTGACAAACACCGCCCAATCGCCTCCAGTCACCGTAAACACCTTCTTAGGACCCAACCTTCATGTGTGCTCCTGCATGGACAAGGTGGTTGAGGTCTGCAATGCAGCGGCTGGACCGGTTGACCGGCTCCTGCCTGCTGCGCTGCGAGGGCGAGCAGTGGCTGCTGCCTCCCGGGATTTCAGATCGTCATGTGTCCAATGGCGGCGGCAGCTTTGGCTCGGGCATCCCTGTCCACTGCGCTGCAAGGGGAAGTGGCGATTGCTGCCTCCCTGGAGCTTTTGGGTTGCCACATGGCCAATGGCGGCTGCTCAGGTCACGCAGCACCGGCTCTCTTCTCTCTCCCCTCCATGATCACCATCAACAGCTGATCAATCGTGGAGGTAAGGTAGTCCAGTCTTTTGTAAATCAGCTGCTAATTCTCTAGGTTTGGCATTTCTGGATCCTTTGTGACTGGGCCTCCACCTCATTTGGAAACCTGGCTGCCAACAGGGTCCAGCTCCCGCTGGATTTCAGGTCTCGGGGACCCAGGGCGCTTAGAGTCGACGGTTCTTCTTCCAAGGGAGCTTTTCCATGGGTCTTATTTCGTGGTACCTTAGACTGCCACCAGTGTAAGAAAGCTCCTTAGAGACATCTATTTTCAGGGGAATAGAGCTTTATTTCTCTGAACGTATATACAGTCTGAGTGTAACGACTGCCACACTCATAATTGCTATGGTTATCTTCAGCCCTGATTGTTTTCACTGGAATCAGCATGCGATTAAATAGTAAATTGCTTAATAATCCACTTCCAAGCAGTAATGAGCCTGTGCCTATCAGAACGGTTATAATATTTTATTTCTCTCAATTTTAATACAATCTATAATTAGCATTGGCCACTCATAATTAGTTTTAGTCCACGTTTTTCAGGGTCAGAAAAATATCTGGGGGGGGGGGGGGGGGGTGGCTTCAATCCTGAATCCTGAATCCTGAATCAAAGAAGATGAAATATCTTCTTCAATAGAATCACTTCAAGATAGTCACTAGGTTATATCACGAATACCCTGCAATGCTTGCAGGATGTCTACCTGCACGTGCCTATGCCTTCGTGTTGCTTCCTGTACCTGAAGTTTTACGCCCTCGTGTAATGCTACAAATACCGAGTGCTACCAATGGGCATCACCTTGACTCCAAGGGCATTCATCTAGGTTCCCATGGCCTTGGTGGTGGCGTTGAGCGAGAGGGGGATTCACATTTTACCCATATCTTGACGACCTTATCAGAGTATCTTCACATACTAAACTCCACTGGAAACAGATGTTGACCTTCTGCTTCTCAAGGAATAAGGGTTGGTGGTTTACCAGGAAAAATGCACCCTTGAAACAAATCCTCAACTCTAACACCTAACTGCCGACATCTGGAAGTATCACAATCAGATGCGACTTTCGGATAAAAAATACCTTTCTCATCAGCCAACAGCTTTGAGAGCTACCTGAAAACCAGTCTGATGATCAGCACAAAAAACTTCCTGGTCCTTCTGGGACACATGGTTCCCATCACGGATATGGTTCTTTGGACAAGTCTTCACATGAGGCCACTTTAGTGGGCTCTACTATATAAGTGGGATCCATTTCATGGCAGTCTCAATCAACGTGTCAAACTGATCCCAAAAGGCGGTCTACACTATTATTTGGTCGACGAGGGGAATCTTCAGAAGTGTCTTTGGTTTGGCGATCCTCTTCTGGAGACCAGCTATTACCAATTATCCTGAGGCAGAGTTTGAGAGTGGAAGGTCGACATCATTCATAAAGCTATGCCTTTCAGCTACTTCTGCCTTTCAGAAACACATCCTCGGAGTCCTGTTATTTGTAAGATGGCGACTTCAAGGTCACCGCACATGTTTGAATTACAATCCTGACACTTTGGTACTGCTTGTTGCAGGGGTCCTTGGTTTTAATCCAATAGGCCACCCTGATTAATAATGTCTCATAATCGCCAACATAATTTATCATATACAGCATCATCACACACAACGTCCCATGTCCCCATGCCCCTGTTTCTTTGTGTCCATTTATCCCACGTCTATTTCGATATGTATGTGTCCCCATGTGTCAGGGTCTCTGTATCTCTGTCTCTCCGCATCGTCGTGTCTCTTTGTCCCGTGCCTCTGCGTCCCCATGTCTCCATATCCCTTTGTCCTCTTGTCCTTGTTTTCCATATCTATTCTTCCCATGTCTCTGTATCCCTGTCCCCATATGTCTCTGTGTCCCCATGTCTCCATGTCTCCAAGTCCTTTTGTTCCTGTGTCTATTCTTCATGTCTCTCCATCTCCCTGTACCCCCTGTTTCCATGTCCCTGTAGGGGTGTCAGGGGAAGGATTCCCACCAATAGGAGGGTTAGTGGGACGGTGACAGGAGAAGGGGGAGGGGTAATCGAGGAGATATAAGGGGAGAACTGGCGGGAAGAAGGGGCCTTTGGCGGGAACGAGATTGAGAGACGGCTGGAGACAGGTGTGGATGGGAGAAGAGGAATAAAGGACGAACCCCCTGCAACCCTTGTGTCGGCTCTCCTTTACATCCCCATGTCCTCATGTCACGAGGTAGCAATACCAGATGGAACCTAATTCTGGGTCTCTAAGCCTGTTTGTCTCAGTGTCTGTTATTCCCATCTCTCTCTCTACACGTGTCCCTGTGTCTCCGTATCCCCATGTCCCTGTGCCTGCATGTGTCTGTGTCCCAATATATCCATGTTCAATTGTCCTGTGTGTATTGTTCCCGTGAAATCATGTCTCTGTGTCCCCGTGTTTTTGTGTTCTGTGTATCAGCCTCCCTGTGTCTGTGTATCTGTGTCTCCATGCATCTATGACCCAGTGTCCCCGTATCTCTGTGTCTCCATTTTCCCACGACTCTGGGTCTCCATGTGTCCATGTACCCGTGCCTCCATGTCCTTTAGTCCCTTTGTATTCACGTATCCCGTGTCCCTGTTCCACTGTGTCGACATCTCCCTATGTCTCCGTGTCACTAGGTACTTAACACGAGCTGGGATCTAACTCTGGGTGTCTGTGTCTGTTCTTTTCCCATGTCTGCGTGTCCCCCATGTCTAGGTAGTGAATGCGAGTTGGGAGCTGACTCAAGCCGCCAACTTCTCTCTCATCCGTCTGTTCGCTGTCTCCTTGAAGACATCACTCCAGCCTCTAGATGACTTTGCATCAGTCGCACTCCCCTGGAGTCTCCCCACAGCTGGTAAGTGTTCATAATTCATAACCTCTCAGAGTTTGACATGGGCAGTCCAGGAATTCGCATCCTGTATGGCAGGAATGTATTTATATTGAGCTCTGGTAACAGAATTGTATTCAAACCTATCACAGGAAACCGCAGTGATTAAAGACTTCAGCTGACTGAGAAACGTGACCTGCGTTCGCTCAGTGGAACAGGTGGTGAACTTGTTCATAATATTAATGGACCATTTTACCAGTATAAATATTATTTTAAAAAGGCTTTACCCATTCTGACAATATATACAGATATTAAAAGAACAAATAGACACCGATTACAAGGCATCAAGTCCACATTAACCACGAATATCAGAAGTATGTGTAGTTGCCAAAAAAGGTCAAACCTTTTTTTTACTTGGTGTTTGAACATTTGAACACGTGTGTTTATTGCCGGAAAGGGTGAAGCATTTTATTTGTAATGAGATCCACCACTAGGGGAATGATTAAAGACACATCCATACTCAGGTCATCAATTGCACAACCAATTTGCTTTCCAAAAGTGTAGTGGTGAATATCTGAACTGGTTCTGGGCGTCTCCTAGATAGACTAACCCTCAAATGAGGACCTGGTGTGGTGTATTGAATATCAGCATAGAGCAGACAAAGGCATAGTCGGACGTGTTGCTAGCCAACCACCTCCTCATGTGCCATGTCAGCCTCAATAGGTGCTCACTAATTGCAATTTCTTAACCAGTTTATTAGAGGTTACACGAGGGATCATTTATCTATACTTATGCATAATCTACGCTTCTCTGTGCGTCTAGACCGCCTAGGCATGGGAGACTACACCGTCTTCTCGGCCGTCTGTTGGTTCTTTGGCCGGAACCTACACCGCACTCTGGGGGTCCCCGTGGGGTTGGTGCAGTCCTGCTGGGGGGGTACCCCCATTGAATCCTGGTCCTCGCCCCGAGCCCTGGCGCGCTGTGGACTCAATGCACAGCCTCAGAGCAGGTATGTGTGATGGGGAAATTCCCATAGACCCACAAGGAGACCCTTTGACTTAAGTAGAGGCATCATGTAATAACCACACAGAGTCTATTGTTGACTGTTTAAAGGCTATTTGCCATGTCGAGCTGGAGCCAAACCAAAATATACTTCCCTCACCACACATATCAAAAAAACTAAACTATTTTACAATATTTTAATTTCTCCAGGTAAGGCCCACTGAGCTATATAGCTATTTTTCAGAAGCGACTTGTCCACAAATGACGATTAAATGAAGTGGCTTATCACGTGTAAATTTATAGAGTAGCTAAATACTCTAGAAGCATGTTTCTGAATGTGGAGGTTAAAACCGGAGGAGCCGAAGGAAAACCCACATGATCACGGAGAGAATGCGTAAACTCCAAATATGCAGTAGGTGTCATGGTCGGGTTCGAACCATTATATTCTGCATACCAAGCGAGGGAGTTAAATCTCACCACTGCACAGCCACCTCTGTCTGGCTCAGGGCCCAGCACCATCTACAGGCATCTCCGCTGATTCATTGCATGTGGCGTCAGTACGTTGTGAGGACGCTGCATCACCATGTCATCTACGAGTGTTGCCACTTGTTCATTGTTTGTGATGTCAGCAACATGTCAAATTTTTTGCAGTGGAAAAAAGGTATCAGAAGCAACTGAATGACTCAAGACTTTGGATCTTTTGCCCACATTCAATCCCAAAAATCATAATAAAAAAATTGACACTAGTTTCTTCTTGACTATGTATTAGGAGGAGAAAAGTTGTTCAACTGCTGCAAACTCAATATAAGCCTTTCACAATCTCTCTAATCTTTGTAAGATTAACAGCGTGGTGCTGGCCATGCAACCTCATCATGTGCCATACCAGCATTCAAAGGGGGCTCGCTAACAGCACCTGTCCCAACAGTCTATGTCGGTTTCACCAGGGACCATTGTATTTTTCTTTGAGTGTAGTGGTCAACTCGAACCGACAGTGCTGTGGAACGCAATGATTCACCCTCTGCTGAATATGACCCTCAAAGGGGTAATCTGGTACCAAGGTCAGTGACATACACACATAAACATGTGTACATACATTTGTAATGAGAGTGCGCCACCTACAGGACGACTGGGGGTAACTGCATGGACACCGCTAGGTTGACTAACATTCAACCAATAGGGGGATCCCATCTGAGTGAAAGGTAAACGGGCGGAGCTATCGGGCAAGCACGGGACACTCTAGAATGTTCTTTGAGGGGCGTGGCTAGAGGCGGGGCTTATCCCCGTGGAGAGGAATATAAGGAGAGGCAGGGGAGGACTCTGGGTCGGTGTGGGAAGCCTGGAGTCCGAGCAACATCATCGCTTACCTCTACTCATCACCAGCCACGTGGCGGGCTCTTCCAGCGGAGCCTCCCCTCTCTCCAGCGTGCCGTCAGCCAGGGGAGAGAGAGAGTGCCGCGACGGTGAGGAGGAAGAGTGTGCGCCACGTCCGTCGACAGAGCGAAGCCAGCCGCGGAGACGGAGCGAGAGACGCGCGCTGTACAGCAGTTCTAATATTATTACACATTCATAAACATCACCAATAGGGACCCATCTCTCTACTGCAACTGGACATTGATCAGCCTCTCATTGTATCTATAACAGATGGAAATCCATATCTACAGCCATGGAACGATTCCCAAACTGTCATCAAGGAACATGTTAAATCGCTTAGGGACCAGAAGACATCCCTGTTGCACCCGAGGTAAATAGAGATGGCTCTGCCCACCATCATAAAGGTGCTTAATAACTGTGAGAAGTGGATAAGGGACATTCTTCCAATCATGTGAAACCAATCCTGTGATCTTAGCAGTTGTAATGATGTCATATAGGGCAGCCTGCACACAATCACCAATCTTGCTCAGCAGTTCACTTGAGAAGTCATCTCTGCCTGGTGCTTTACCTAGCCTCAAGCTTTGGATCTATCTTTGCAATTTCTCAACAGATGGCACTTCAGTGCAACTCACAGCGGATGTATATTTCCTCACATATTTGAGGCACAGCAGCATCAAGCTCACTTTGCCCCATGATGTTATTTCAGCTTATGAGTTTCCCCTCCCAAAGGACCTTAGAGGAATTCTCAGATAATCTGCAAACCCATTCTTTGGAATTGAAAATATCCCGAAATAGGTGCTGCAGCTTACGTTTTAATTAAAGAGTCATGTGTCAGTTGACAGCTCAGCTCCAGAGATGATCCTGATATCAAGCACATCGTCCTGCATTCGCTGTTACATCACTATATGGTCCACCAGACTTTATTGGTTGGACTTGGCGTGCATCCATGATATGTGAATGCGCCGTTGCTGGAACAGCATGTTGGTGGCTGCACAGAAGTCTCGCATTATCTTGCCATGGATTTTGAGGTGATCTGGCCTATGTTTCCCAATCACTTCGACCCAAGTAATAGCATCTTAACCCACTGGGGCATTAAAGTTACCAAATAAGCTGTTTTTATCCCAAGGGGGCACTTTAGCCAGTACCTGGGACAGGAGGTCAAAGAAGGCATCTGACTCATTAGCGTTGCCCAGCTGCTGACACAGATGTCATCACATATTTGTATTTATCTTTGGTCGAGGCGTAAGCTGCCACCACCATTCCCTGAACTCATGGCTCACAATTGCCTCGGACTCACGGCTTCCTGCACCTAATTACCCACTCTTCATTTTATTGCTCAGAAGAGCCACGTATGAGTTTGTGATTGTATGGGTGCTATTATGGGTCTCTATGTCAGTAAAACCTCACTGAGTCCAGAGTGACACTCAAAGCTGTGCACAACTAGATCCAAAAAACATCTCTTGCCATCTCAAAGTCAGCCCCAGCCATAGACCTGCTATTCCCAAGTACTGACTCTGTATCTCTGCGCTAGGCTGTGAATCTCAGTGTGAGTCTATGGGTATCCAAGTGAGTGTAAATATATCTGTATGAATCTATGAGTCTCCGTGCGATTATGTACAGGCAGACCTCGTTTAGCGCAACCCTGTAGATCACTAGCATTCTTTGTCCTGGAGAACATTTTTTCGTAAAAAATGTTATCAAAATATCTAAACAGCGCTTGAGTGTGAGAACACGCAGCAACAGTGGCCGGGGAATCGTACCCGTGCCCATCATTCGCTCAGCGAATTATGGAAGCCAACCAGATCCCACGGCAGAACGAATTCTTTGGCCGTCGCTGATTACTGTTTCAACACAGCGGGTTCTCATGAAATTGTTTTCTCCGATACAAAAGTACTTTGCAAACCCCTCCGGTTATTACCAAAGATTTGTCCATGAAGGTATCCAGATATACAAACATAGACACAACTTAAACCGAGAGGATGGTTTTAAATTGAGCAACCAATGGAAAGATGTCATCAACCAAGTCAAACTTTAGCTGCCTTATAATTGTACAGCCATTTCCCTTTAATCAAGTGGGTTTTCGTGCAGTGCGCCATCGCTTCCCCCGAACCCCCTGCAGCTAAACAAAAGGCGACTTAACTTAGCCCTCCCCCCCACCCACGTCCCTTCCTGGCTCCTCCCCCCCCTAACCTGTATATAATCTCGGGGGTCTCAGAGCTCTTCACTTGATACAGCTATTTTGCTGTGACTGTTCCACCTGAAGACGGAAGAGTACAGATGCCACCCCTTGCAATTCGATTATCTCGATTAGTAGTCACGATTATATTTTACATTTCAAAAATATATTTATTTAGCCAGGCGAGGACTTAACAGACCAGGATAGAGTATGAGGCTCCACCTCAAAGAAGCCTCATCACAGAGGTTTAGACTGAGGGTATCGCTAAGATCACGGAGGTCCTTGGAGCTCTCCTCTGAGAATGACTCGGATTGGGAGCGCAGCAACTCCACCAACCTCGTTTCCCACCACTGTCATGTATCAGGAGCAAATTAGAATTTACTCCTGAGTACAATACATGACTTATTGATGTTATGATAAAAACTATCTTTATTCATGAAGTGTATACTATCTAAATTATTATTAGCGCTATTACCAATACCCAAATGAAGCCCTCGTATATCGCTGATATGAAAGAAATAATGCTCTCCTTAACGCATTCACATGTATACAATGTATAATTATCAATTTTAGTGCTGATTTGATTTGTTGTTTCTTATCCAGGAAAGCATCTTGAGCAATGAAGTCTGCCTGTGTATCTGTGTGAGTCTGTAGGTTTTGGCGTGAGTCTACGGGCTTCTGAATGAGTCGTTGTATATTTGCAGACCAGTGCTGATTTCACCTTGATCCACACAGGGACAACTGCCACTGTATGGTCCCCAAGTCTTGACTGCTACGGGGCAATGGGATGGTTGAGGTGTTGATGTAAGGCTCTTTGAAATGCTGGGGTTTTTTAAGCAAGTGCCACCGTACATGCACTTCTCTTATCCTTGTTCCTTGAGCAGGTGAGAGAAACACTGGGCACAACACTGACCTGTACAACTGCAGCTTCCCGGCCATGATTAACGACTGGCGTCGGGAATTCTACACAGCCACCAATGGCAACACAGACCCGCTTCTGCCCTTTGGATTTGCACAGGTGAGAAGTTAAACCATCCAGCAGTAGATTTATCATGGCTGGCACTAAAAATTATCATAATGATTGCCATACTTGACTTCATCACCATGCCCAAATGGCTGATTGTTTTAGTGCTTTTCTTTGTCACCGACTTTTTGGAAACCCTTTGATCAAGGTGGCCGGCTATCTCTCAGGTGAGTCCCTAATATCAGTACAAAATTATTATTTTTTTAATATTCGACCTCTTTGGTCAGAATTAGATCTCCCTATGTCCTTCTCCCCATGTCTCTATCCTCATATCTCTCCCTGTCTCTTCCTGTTTTACTTCTCCCTCTCCGTATCACTCTTCCTGTATCTCCCAACATCCATCTCTCTTCATTTATCTTTCCCATATCTCTTTACTCGTACCTATCTCCCGATGTCTCTCTCCCGTTGTCTATAGATCTCCACCAGTGACCCATATGACAACACGGATTCATATCCTCGCATTCGCTGGCACCAGTCTGCAGACTACGGTTTCACCCCAAACTCGCGAATGCCCAAAACCTTCATGGCCGTCACCATCGACTTGTGTGACCGCACTTCCATCTATGGGTGGTGAGTGACTCACTTAAGAGTAATGGTCTCTTTCTCACCTCCTATCCCCTCACTCCCCTCCTATCCAGCCAGCTGACCAGCAGTTCTGTACGAAATGCAGACTTTATAGTGCACTTCAAGTCTGTCCTCCAAAGAGCAGACTTCATAGAAGCCAGCAGGCCTCCAGCAAATGGAGAGCACTTTTCAAAAATTATAACAATCCAAGGAACGAGTGGTGCATAGCAGATTACAAGAGGAATTAGCCACTTTCAGAAAATATCCTAAAATTTGTGATTTTGCCGCAAATGTTTTGATGTCTGCCCCCATGGACAAGAGTTTCCTGCCATGACTTACAGAAATCTGCAGATTGTTGGAGTGTAAATTGAAAGAGTTCTACTGTGTATAATATATAGTGCAGTATATAATGTAGTGTAGTAAATGGTGTAGTTTAGTATGCAATGTAGTGTATTTCAGTGTGGTATATAATGTAATGTACAATAGTTTAGTATATAATGTAGTGTAATGTACAATATTGTAATATATGATATGCCTCTCTGTATAGGATCCACCCACGCTACAAGCAGGAGGTTGCCACCCGTCTACTGCTGGGTGCGATGTCTGTTGCATACAATGACAGTTCCTCCATATTCCAAGGCCCCTTCCCAGAATTGGCCATTGTGAACCTCACAACCCAAATGCTCATCATCAAATATGGACAGGAGCTAATCCACCACAATGGGGGACGGGGCGATTTTCAGGTCAGAGATCGTGTTACATGATATGACAAAAATTATTGCGTTATCGGTTTCCGATACCTTTGTTATTTTGCATGACTATTTTTTGCTATTGTTTGTATGATTTTCTCTACTTTAAGTATAAATATAGATTGTTTATTCAACTGCAGTTCACGCCATATGATTCTGCTACAAGTTTTCTCATCATTGTATAATCATAATCTCTCCTACTCTCTGGTTCTTTCGGCAAAGTCACGTAGGTATGGATTCCTTCAGTCACGAAAGCTTCAAATCAACATAATCTCTCCTATCTATCCTCTACTGTCCCCGCTCCCCTCTCCTCCCTCCTCTCTGAACCTCTAAACTTCCCCCCTCTACTTCCCTCCTCTCCCCACCTATCCCCTCATCTTCTCTCCCCTACTCTGCTCTCCTCTCTTCTTGCCTCCCCTGCTCTCCTGCTCCCATCTCCTTTTCTCCATCGCAGATCTGCTGTTCCCAAGTGCGCGGTCAGTGTCTCAATGAGGACTGGAACCAAGCTCCAATCCTCTCTGTACAAGCCCAGAGTGTCTTCCTCAACATCTCCACCTGCATCAGCACCAGCAGGGCTGTGACGTCCGTCCGCTACGCTTGGTCCAACTGGCCATGTGAACTCTACGCTTGTGCCCTCTATGGAGCGGGGCCCACCGCACTACCAGCACCCCCCTTCATTAAGGACGTGCCATTGGAGGTAGTTTATAACAGCAGTGTTGGGGGTGTTCCTAACGGCAGTGTCGGGGGTGTTCCTAACGGCAGTGTCGGGGGTGTTCCTAATGGCGGTGTCGGGGGGGTTCCTAACAGCAGTGTTGATGGGGCCCTTTTTGGTCATGTTGAGGGGTTCATAATGTTCATGTTGGTGGGGTTCACAATGACTGTGTCAATGGGTTTATAATACCATGGCTGGTAAGCTGTCATTCTTTCTTCATCCACGGGACCCCGGCTGGGGTCTCCCCCTTGCCCTCAGACAAAGACCATAATACATATTGCTACGTCGACACTGAATGATATACCGAAATAAAATTTCCCACAGTATGGGCAGTACTCGGCTTAATTAATTAATTCCTGAGACCTGTTCGTAGGTCGAGTGGTTCGTAGGTCGAGTGGTTCGTAGATCAGAACACAATAATGCACTGTATTTAAATGCTCATATGGTCAGTGTTATGAAATGTGTTACAATTCAACAAAAAGGGAATAATTTTGTCACTCATAATTAAGAAGAAATACTGTACATATGAAAGTGACAACGTAAAAAAAGACTCTTACCTATGAAAGTAATTTTTTTGTCTGTCTGCACATGCCTTGCAATGCTTTTAACTGACAATTAATGTTAATAATTGATAGTGGAATGTATTACAAATGTAAACTTTGTATTAATGATGGAATTAAGCTGCGGTAACGACATTAAAGATATGAATGCATGCAGAGTATATGGAGGTTCGGGCTACCTGAATTATTTTTACACAAAACGCTATTTTTGCGTCTGCGGGTTATATGCGGGTGCGGGCTATATGCGGGAAAATATACTGTACACTCACAAATATATAGAATCCCCATATAGCCTTTAACACACTTGACATGAGTGCTGTCAGTGAGCACCTATTAAGGTGGGCATGACACATGACGGGGTGGTGTGGCTAACACCACCCCTGGCCGTCTTTGTCTTCCCAATGCTTATTTTCAAATACTGCACAAGATACTAATTTGAGACTGAGTCGACCTAGGGGAGGCCCAGGACCGATTCAGATACTCGTCACTGGTGGTGGCCATGAGTGGGAATTGAACTCGAGTCGCCAGGTTTGTTGTCCAGTGCGCTAACCAATGTGCCACCACTCCTCAAATCTCAACAGCCGCCGTTCACCACTAAGTGGCAGTGTTACAATAGCGCTTGTGCCATGCTTAGGTGGACTTTTGAGGCCACGTGAAGTATCGAAGACTGGCTGGCAGTAAGTCAAGGGACGGACCCAGGTGCCATGGGTTGACCGACTGAGATGACTGCACCAGCTATGCCCCCACTGTGCCAACTTTCTGAAATTTAGCCACACGGCTCTCCTATCCTTGTTCGGAGCATCACTCCCCTGCCCTCAGCTGTTGTTGGAGGTCGACTGGCTCAAACTGCCCAATAGCGTAATTCATTATCCTCCTCCACAGAAGCCGATTTTGACACTGCTGGTACCGTTTATTAGTAAGTGCCCTCGGCTCCACATCCTCCTGTACCGCATAAGTCCATCTCTTCTCTTGCCTGTACCACTCACCCACTCACGCACTCAACCACACTTTCACACATTCACCCATAAGCTCCATCTCTTCTCTTACCCGTGCCGCTCCCGTTTTGTCCCCCTCTATTCGGCCAAACAGAAGCTGCTTGGCCATGAGGTGGCTTGGCATGCGGGCAACATGTCCCAGCCAATGCAGCCTTGCCTGCCAGAGGCGATAATTGATGATGGGGACTGTGTCCAGTGACAGGGGTAGTGACGAGGTACTAGTAGGGTTTGGGGAAGGATGGACTAGGAAAGACAGTCTGATGTTTTGCATTGGATTTCTGCAGGTTCTTGGGTTTCTGTGAGCTAAAAAAAATAAACACAGAATATGACTACATTTGACTAAAAATATCCTTTATACTGAAATCTACCTGGAAATGGGTCCAGAGGTTGAGGTGTATTTCTCGCGTAAAACCCATTAAGCTAAGCTTTTGTTCAAGGGCGACTCGGCCGGCACACATCACAGCATGCCATAATTACAAGACAAAGATCCCCCATGTAGCCTTAACATACTACTGCGGCAAGTGCTGTTAGCGAGTTGCAGCACCTATTAAAGGCCAGCAAGGTACACTAAGGACTGGATGGCCAGCACCATACCTGGTCACCTTGGTCGCCCCAGTGGCGATGTTTCCAGCACACCGCACCAGGTACTCATTTGAGGCTGAGTCGACCTAGGGGATACCCAGCACCGGTTCAGATAATCGTCACTGCGATTTTCTGGAAATAAAATGTGCTTTGACAATATTTGGCAGAAGTCCCTAATATTCTTAGAGCAATATTATTTCTTAAAATAACACCTATTATAAATGTTATAAATATGCTGAAAAGTAAAAATTCCACAATAATATTTAGGAAAACGCAGTTAAAACACAAAATAGATGGCAGCGACTTTATTTGTACTAACATTGAATGTATAGACTCACAGTCACTGAACATGTAATCAACTAAATGTCATAACATTTTTTATAAAAAAAAGACACCCGTATACTATTTTGCAAATCGATAATAATTCACTACTCCACTTCAGTTACAAAATATGCAGGCCGTCGCGAAACGTGCGGTATTCACACAACGCGTGTTTCTCTATAACGCGGATCCTCCATACAGGAACGCTTTTCGCACAACGGGCAACACGCATCGTTTTATATGCTGAACGTTACAACGCAGAACCCGCACCGTTATGACATGGAACGCGTAGTAATAATGCGGAATGCGCACTGTTAGAACGCATTTTCTGAGTGGTCGATGACAAACTACTTTATTGAGCTGAGCGGTACAGCGTGGAACGATACAGTAATGCAGTGGCGGCGTACCCTCACTTATTTGTCCCACCATCTCCCTGTGTTGGGTGCGTAGTAAATCGTATCTTGCCAAATGTTATGGTTACATTATTAATGGGGAAATTGTTTTCGCATGCGTTTTTCACTTCATGTGGCACTTTTCAGGAACGCATCTACTATGAGTGCATTAATTTAGGACTTTATTGTACAACTTGGGACAAAGTAGAATCTTCTTTGTCCAAAGTTGCTGGTTACACATCTAGCCCGGTTCTCCACTTCATACCTGCTGGTCGCTCCAACTCTGCTTTGTTCAGAAGTCCACCCACACCTCCAGATCCATCAACCACTTGGGGTTGCCTCACTCTTCAAATTCTGCTCCTCCTTCACGCTGCCTCCATTGATGTGAAGGACAGGTTTTGGAATCGAATCTTCGTCTTCACATTTCATGTTCCCTTCTTCACATTTCAAGTTCACTTCCTCACAGTTAGCCTCCAATTCCTCACATTTCACCTTCACTTCTACATATTCCACCTTCACTCCTGGCCACATCTCAAAGCTGGGAGTATCTCCTGTTTCTTGTTTAATAATAGACAGGTTCATTGCAACACTTTGACTTTCACTTGACTTCACATTCCCCTTCTTGTGTATCTTCTCGTGCCTGCTTCGGGCTCCCGACCGGGTAAATGCTTTCCCGCACACAGTACACTTGAAGGGCTTTGTTCCCGTGTGTATTCTCTGATGCTCTTCAAGATGTGACGACCGTATGAACGCTTGCCCGCACGCAGTGCATTTGAAGGGCTTCTCTCCCGTGTGTGTTTTCCGGTGTCTGTGAAGATGTGGCGAATGAGCAAATGCCTTCCAACACACCGGGCACTTGAAGGGCTTCTCGCCCGTGTGCGCCCTCTGATGAATCTGAAGCGTTCCCGACTGTGCAAATGCCTCTCCGCACAGAGTGCACTTGAAGGGCTTCTCTCCAGTGTGTGTTCTTTCGTGATTCTTCATGTTACCAGTTCGATCCGTGCTGTATGGACACTGGCCGCATTGGTACCTCTTAGTACCGGGCTGTGTGACGTTTCTCGACTCCATCTGATTCTGCAGATATACATATTACACACAATTGATATGCATTGTTTACAAAAATACTGTTTATATATACGGGACCCTTTTTGCGAGTATCAAGATGATGAAAAAGAATAGGCTTTACCCTTTGCGCCAGTCGCCTTTTGGTGTTTTTCTCTGGTCTAACACTGGTGATGAGACAAGGCCATGAATGAGGCTGTGTCTTGTGCAGGTCAACCAGTTTCACAGACAATGCAAACATTAATATCAAAACATGATTTTCATGTTTTACCACAAGCATGATGTATGCTTAATGCAGACTTTATGCTTTCCAATAATGAGTGTATTTGATGTTGGAACATTTTAACATCTGTGTTATTTCCAGAAAGGGTAAAGCCTATTCATTACCCATCACACCGGTAAAATTGGCACGTAGTAGCTAATTGTCATATTTTGTTCACGTGACAAACCTTACTAATTGGCTGTGTCGGGGGGTGGTGGGTAAACAACACATTTATATTTACACGATCTAACCCAAAAACCTTTATTATGAATTTTGGTCGTGAAAGCCTACGTGTAAGATCAACTTTTTCTTCCCAAAATCAATTGACCATACGGCAAGTTCTGGCTTAACGCGTGGCATTCACAACGCGTTTTCGGTTCTTCCATTAGGAATACATATTTGCACAACGAGGAATGCGCACCGTTATAACGCTCACCATTATAACGTGGAACGTGCACCGTCATAACACACACCGAATTAATGCTGTCTTTGAGCAGCTCCCAACAAACTACTTTCTTGGGCTGCGTGGCTGAGTGGTAGCGTTACGGTACGTGGAACTCACTCAGTGGCCGCTTATCCTCGGTTACATATCCCACCATCTCACTGTGATGTGCCTGGTACATCGTATCTCGCCAAACAACATTACTTATGGGGAAATTGTTTTTGCTTAATGCGTTTTTCACTTGACGCGGCCCTTTTCAGGAAAGCATCTACGAGGACTTATCGTATTAGAAGTGTTATTTGAAGTTAATGGTACTCTAAACACCAATATAATTTGCTTACATTATTTTCTGGTTACAATACAAGACCACATGCCAATACACCAAATCAAATCCTATCGCGGGTCTGGTTATGTTCTTTAAAATAGCCCCTTTCGGCAAATCTGCGATCTACAAACTCCAAGGCATTACGGTGAAAACTATGGTTTGGTTCACGCTTCGTAATGACACCTATCCGTCCTTTTTAGACTCAGAAAATGTATTTATACTGGAAGAATCCAAAAAGCTATGAAGCTCTTTTTCATAGAAGTCCAGTAATTTTCACAGATGTCCAGTACTTTTGTTTTATATTAACCGACATCAACTCAAACATGAAATGGAAAGTTTTTTTTTTTAAACACAATTAATATTTCTACAGTGTTATATAGATATGTATAGAATGGGAAAAATAATGGAGAAAGAAAAATTGCGGGCGGCTGAACCTCACTGTCTTCACTGGAGGCTAGAAAAACCACATGATATGGGACCCACGATCGGCCGCTTGGGAGACAACGATGGAGAATCTCGCGTTTAACCGCGAACGGTGTAGCCACAAGGGGCACACGAATGGCGTACTGTGCCTCAATAAATTTGGCGCGAACGATCACATCCGCGAAAGAAAAACCCGCGATGAGTGAGGGCTTGGTGTGCTACAGAATGCAGCTTTACATTCCTGTCAGTGGATTGTCCGAGATTGTCCGAGAATAGCATCTGAGAATGTTACATTTTTTTTAAAATCAGATTTAAAAACTCGCCTCCGATTCTAGAAAACCTAGTTTATTATTATTATGTTGTCACACGTATGTAGGAACACCTGACAATCACCTATGTGAACTCAGTGATGACACGTAGCAAAATACAATAAACACGCTACCCCACCAAGCAGATACAAAGCAAAGAGACAAAAATATTCCTTGACATTTCAATGATTAGCTAAATGAACAAGTTATAGGAATAGGTTTTACCCTTTTGACTGGCACAAAAACTGACACCTTTATTCAAGGCATCATGTTTGCAATGACCACAACACAAGCAGTCAAAATGCAAACAAAAAAGACAACTCTGATAATAATATGCACTGTCCTTGAATTTGATTGGTCCACACCCGAGACAGCATATTATTATCAGAGTTGTCTTTTTTGTTTGCATTTTGACTGCTTGTGTTGTGGTCATTGCAAACATGATGCCTTGAATAAAGGTGTCAGTTTTTGTGCCAGTTAAAATGGTAAAACCTATTCCTATATCTTGTTTCTGGCAAAGGAGGTCTCATAATGTAAATGAACAAGTCTTGGCGTTTGGAGAGTTGAAACGTTCAGAATGACCACTGCATATTAATATTGTAAACATCATTGTATTAAATTATAACTTTGATGAAAGGATATACCACTACATGACAATGCAGCCCAGGGTCAAAAGATTTTAATATTATTTTGCATGATCTATTAACAATCACTATCATCACAAAATATGGCGAGATCTGGGTTAAGCATGTGAACCTTGATGATAATGAAATTATGGCAGCTCATGTTGAAGTGTTGTGCAAAAGAATAATTCAGAACAAAATATATACAGCAAGCCCTCGCCAACCACGGGGGTTAGGTTCTAGGAAAAAGCCGCGGTAGGCAAATCCGCGGTTGGTTAAATACAGGGCCTATGGGGAAGAGGGGGTAAGGGGAACCACGACCGTGGTCAGACTCATCATATCTCAACTAACTTGTCTGTTTTTATTAACTAAACACCAAATAATATACAGTACATCACACAATAACATAGAGTGCGGTCGTGTTGCTACAATTCTCTTCGCATTTACACTGACCTCTGCTGTTGTAACTTCTTCTAATGCGAAACTAATTATTTTTAAAACTAGCTTAGCTCTAATCTCAGAAAAAATCAGACTTAAACGCACCGAACTAGATCAGTTAGACAAGACACTCTACAAATCACACTTATCATTGACGGCAACAATGTCCACATCGGATTGGGAACATGTAGACAATATGACTGCTTCTTCAGCTGCTACTATGTCGACCAAATGTAAGGACAACCTGATTTACAAATTTAACCTCCTCTTCAACAAAAGACCGGACCCACACACCAAAAAGTTAGACGTTAACAAAGTCGTAATTAATCGCAGTAACAGTTCTATTTCCGATGGTCTGAAATCCGTTTTAGCTAAAGGTCTAAACTTTGCAGTCACACCTAAACACATACCAGTTAATGATATAATTGTCCAAGTAGACGTTGCTCTCAGGGGCCTGGGTCACATCGCTGCAGAGGTAGCAAGATCTGAAATCGCTGCAACCCTCAAAAACGCTAAGATGCCAGCTAGCAACCTCAGCAAAGATGAGCGTTTTGAATTATATAAATTAAAAAAGAGGGATGATATTGTAGTCCTCTCAGCTGACAAGGGCAATGCTACTGTCATCATGGATAAAATAGAATACAACAACAAAATTAAATAATTACTCGACGATGGTAGTTATACAAAAATAAAAAGAGATCCCACCAACAGCCTCGTCACACAAACCAACAAAATAATTTCTGATTCAACCGCATTAATTGATCAATCTAAACAGTTTTCGTTGAAACCTTCTGCTGCCAGGCCACCAAGATTATACGGCTTACCAAAAATACATAAAGTAGATACACCCCTTCGTCCCATCGTCTCTACTATCAACTCCCCCACCTACAAACTGGCTCGTTTTTTGTCTGAAATCCTGCGTCCTTTCAATGGAAAAACCACCTCTGCGGTACAAAATTCTACTCACCTGGTATCGACAATCAAGGGTATTTCCCTGTCCCCAGACGACCTGCTTGTCAGTTTTGATGTAGTTTCCTTATTCACCAAGGTTCCTGTACCTGCCACCATCGCAATCATTAAAGACTTGGTTCATCAAGGACTAAACACTGAGGTACCCCCCCTGGTGAGACACTGTTTAACCAATACATACTTCACTTGGGATGGAACTTTCTACAAACAAACTGAGGGCACCCCAATGGGCTCCCCCCTATCTCCGGTTATAGCTAACATTTTCATGGAGAAATTTGAGACTGACGCCATCCAGACTGCCACTCTGCCACCAACCTTATGGAAGAGGTACGTGGATGACACTTTTGTCATCTGGCCACATGGCCGGCCTGCTCTAGACCAATTCTTCGACCACATCAATTCCATACACCCAGCCATCAGATTTACCATGGAAGTCGAAAAAGATGGCAAGCTACCTTTTTTGGATGTCCTAATTAAAAAGAGACCTGATGGTTCAATGAGCCACTCTGTCTACAGGAAAGCTACCCATACGGATGCTTATCTGAAACCGGATTCCCACCACCATCCATCACAGAAGAATTCTCTCATCAAGACTCTGTATCATAGAGCCCAATGCATATCCGACCAGGAACACATAGGCAGTGAACTCAAGCACGTACACCAAGCTCTTAAGGCTAATGGTTACTCCGACTATACAATCCGCAAAGCTATCACTCAAACCATGAAGAAGGACCCTCTTGAGGAGCCTTTCAAAACCATCACTTTACCCTACATTGCAGGGATCACAAAAAATATCTCCAAAATCTTGAATAAACACAAGATCCAGGTCCGTTTCAACACATTACATAAAATCAGTGATCTGGTTCCGTCTGTAAAAGATGTGATTCCGGACATACAATACCCTGGTGTCTACAAACTAAGTTGCCTCTGTGGTAGTAGTTACATTGAAGAAACCAAACGCCATGTCTCGGACCGCATTCGTGAACACAAAGCAGACCTTAAACACGGCAGGACTAACACCTCGGCCGTGGCAGATCATTGTTATAATTCTGTAGGCTCACATGACATTGACTTTTCCAAGACAGAGGTTCTTTGTAAGCCATCTGGCTACCATGAGGGATTCGTTCATGAGGCTATCCACATATACAAGCACAGAGACAATTTCAACCGAGAAGATAGATTCTGGCTTAGCAATCATTGGAAAGATTTGATAAACCATTTTAGGTCTTAATTGATTGTTCACGCTTGCTTACAGTGGCTTTCAGACAGCATACATTAAAAAAAATTCGTCTCCCCCCTCCTCTTTTCAGAACATAGATGGACTAGTCTTTCTAAATAAACTGCCAAATCGCTGCGCGTGGCGCTAACGTTTTTTATAAATAAATACACCGTTTAAAAATAAATAAATTTACGCAAACCGACACACCTGATGACGACCATTTGTGTTATGGTCGAAACGTCGTGAGAATTTTTATTGTTTTATATATATTTTATTATTTTATTGTTTCCCTTCAACGTGACTTTACCGAAAGAACTAAGAATATGAGTACAATGTATTTACAAACAATGACGCTATGCCCATAAAATATAACGCTAGCCGCTTGCGCGTTACGAGATTCAGTGGTGAAAGGGACCCACTCTGCAACTTGGAATGGGAATGGGTTAAGGGAGCGCAGTTGCGATGCGACGCGGGCTATGTGCTGCCAGAATTACAGTACGGACAGCTGATAAGCTACGCAGCGCCATGGATGGCCACGGGTCGCACTGGTGCATGGAGGAAAACTGTGGCCATGCAACATTTGTAAATGGGTGTTACGGACCCATGCCTACCCGCGGATACTCACATTTCCACGCCGCAGTTGGTAAATTAGTTTCCAAATAATTAACCATGTATGCATGACTCTGTGGTTGGCAAGTCCACGCTTGGTAAGAGATTGCTGTATATATTTTAATTATGATAATTCTCCACGACCAAAAACAATGCCTTCAAGGGTGTATAACCAGAGCCACGCCCAACAACCTTTGTCTCCCAAGTGGCGATCTTTACATCACACACCAGGTAATCATTTTAAGGCTGGATCAACCTGGGGGGAACCAGGATGAGTTCAGATAACCACCACTGTATCGATCATGAGTGGCAATCGAACTCAGAAAAGCAGGCTCACTAGGAGAAAGGATAAAACATGAACACCCATAGAGGAAGGGAGGCTGTTTTCACACCTAAACACATGTACAACAAAAACACACTGTGGGATAAGCTAGCTTTTATGAGTTTATAGACTTCACAAGGGTAATCAATAACTATTTTTATTTTACCAAACAAGGCCCACTGAGCTATATAGCTTTTTTTCAGAAGTGGCCTGGCTACAATTGATAGTTTAACAAAGTGGCTCATCATGTGATAATGTATAGCAGCCAAATCCTGAAAATGCATGTTTCTAAATGTGGAGGAAAAAACCGGAGGACCTGGAGAAAATCCACGTGACCACAGGAAGACCATGCAAACTCCAAATATACAGGTGTCAGGGTCAGGATCGAACACCGACCTCCTGTATACCAGGTGAGGTAGTTAACATCTCACCACCATGGCTGTGTCACAAAAATAATCTTGAGATTCCCTCCAAAAAGAGGAAGTATGGCAGAATTTACATCAGGCACCAGGATGTCTGGACAGCCAGAACCAGAGATGAACTGCCGCTGACCCGATGGATGCACCACAGGTGTGAAAGTGGGAGGAGCTTCGGGCTTTGATGTGGCCTATGGAATTGATTAAATAAGGTAGAAATTCCAATAAAAACAACATACAGAAATCTTACATATATATGAATGTTGAACTTCTTTCGCACCGTATGTAGACAACTATGCTAATCGGAGGTGCGGTGAAAGGGCAAGAAACTAAACACAAAAAGTAGTTATAAAGAAATGAGTTTTCAATCTAGTTCTAAAAGTGCGTAGCTCCAGTTACTTCCTTAAATCAGAAGGAAGATCGTTCCAGACGGCCACAGAAGCACATCTGAAAGCGCGCGATGCGGTAACCGTCTTTGTTCGATGGCAAGCCAAAAGCCGCTGTGAGGATCACCGGAGTCCACTTGATGGTTTATGCTTCTTGATGACAAAAAAATCAGTCTTGCAATAGCAATGGCTCCGGGTAACCCTTCAGACTAGCTTAAAGAGTCGAGTCTTGCTAAAGCAGACTCCAAAGTGTTCCTGGAAGTAGGCAACAATGCATTGGCGCTGCATTGGCATTGTTGCTTCATTGGCATTGTTGCTGCATTGGCACTCATGCACCGCCCGTACTTCTGGTGTTGTTGGTACACTTGGGCTAAGCCCATCCCCAAACCCTTATAAACAGTTTGCCTTTAGAGGCTGACTACTTTGCCTGATGACGACCGCTTGTGTTGCGATCAAAACATCATGTTTTGTTTTACTTTATTTCTAACTATGTGACTTTACCTTAAGAACCAAAGAGTAGGATACAAATGTTTTTAATAATGTTTACCTTTTGATTAAAAGCTTTCGTGACTGCAGGGATTCATATTCTTGGTTCTTTCGGTAAAGTCACACAGAAAGGAAACAGTAAAATAATAAAAATATAAAATAAAACAGTAAATATCTTTTTATTATTTTATTGTTTCCCTTCTACGTGACTTTACTGAAAGAACCAAGAATATAATGTTTACCTTGTCTATAATTTGCAATCTTATCGTGTTTTTGTATTATTTGTTATTGTAACGTTCTGACCTGCCCCTACTGGACATCTGTAAAAAAAGCTTTAAAGCTCATTGGATTCTTCCAGGATAAATACATATTCTGATTCTGATTATATGGGTCTCTGCGTGTCTGATTGTTAACAATTCCAAGACTTCACATGCAATTTGAATCAAAATAATTAAATGTGGATGCCCTAAAGTCTTTGGAACCACCTAAGTAGTTCCATCTCTTGCCCTCTTTATTCTGCCATCTCTGTCTTCATTTAAACAGACTCTATGATTAACATTGCTAAATATTGATTTAAAGCTTTCGTAACTGCAGTAATTCATATTCTTAGCTCTTTCGGTAAAGTCACGTTTACCGAAAGAGCTAAGAATATAACATCACTAAAGTTTAAGTGTGAATGTAATGTTACAACATAATTGCTGTTCTTAAGTTTGTGTTTGGTAAATTTCTAAATTGCGGAATGCTTTGGTGATGTCTGCCTGCCAAGTTGCCCTTAAAAATGAGCTTCTTAGCTCAATGGGTGTTACTCAGGAAATACACTTCTGATTCTGAGTAGGTCATGACTATTTGCATATGCTGACATAGCCCTGGCTTGCCATGCTAAAGAACTCCAGGACATTAAGAAAACACTCACTGCATATCTATGTTCTCTGGAAGCATATTTCATAAATTGGAGGCTCCGACCAAACTGTGCAAAGACTGTCGCTTCAGCCTTCCACCTGAACAACTCGAAGGCCGGCGGAGAACGTCACGATCAAACACCAAAATACCTCGGCACCATTCTTGACCATATGCCGATCTATCGGCAGAACCTCCAGAATACCGGATCCATAGCCAAGCCAAGGGTGAACCTCATGCAGAAATTGGCAGGCACCACCAGGGGCAGCAGAGCATGCACGCGATGCACTACTTCACTCGCCCTGGTATACCCAACAGTGGAGTACTGCTGCTCAACCTGACTCAGCAGTCATCATACACACCTGGTAGATACCCACCGCAGGGCAGCCATGAGGATCATCTATGGAGCACTGAGACCAACACAGCTTGAGCGGCTTCCTGTACAAGACCACTATGAACCTCCAGACGTCCAGAGGGAAAAATTTTCCGAAAAGAACACTGGCTGTCAGCCAACTAAGTTCACTGACGAAGGAGCTCAAAACCCACCTACGCATGTGTGAAATCTCGCAGCCCCTATTGGAATACACTCCAAACCCTACAAACTTATGACAGCCCTTCCTCTCAATAGGGCACATCCTGGGTGACTGAAAATGTGACCAATTGCAACCTGGTAACTGACCCAATCAGTGAAGTCTCAGGGTTCAACCTACCACAGAAAACTTAGACAACCCTCAACCACTTGAAGACAGGCCAGGGGAGATGTGGCCACTTGCTCCACAAGTGGAACATGAGGAGCAGCCCAAATTGTGGCTGGCCACCCAAGTCAGATAATCGCCCACGTACTGAACTCCTTTAACTCCTGCCCTGAAAGATTCATTCCCGGTGGCATCAGAAGAATTCACTCGACTCGGCCTCACCAGAAGCTGTTGAATGGATTGAAAACCTCATTTTCAAACTAAAACTGCTTCCCCAGCCATACGAAGAAGCTCAATGAGCTTTACTTGGGAAATATTCTGGTTAATTATTCTGAACCTCTATAGCTTCTATTCTGCATAAATTTCGGAATTATTCTCGTTTTTTTATACAACCATAATAGTTTATCTTTTAAAATTCTTCATCCGTTAAACATAATCTTGCATTTGGTGTTGAAAATCGGCAGGAATTTAAATAATTATGCAATTTGTACTTGTATACTTGATTTACTTTTATTTATTTTAGTGACTTAACTACCTTTTCTATACTTTGCCCTTATTGTGTTGCTTTTATTGTTTGTTGTTCATGTAACTTGATGACCCCTCAGTCAAATTTCGATTTAAAGCTTTCGTGACTGCAATGATTCATCTTCTTTGGTTCTTTCGGTAAAGTCACGTGACTTTACCGAAAGAACCAAAGAAGATGACCCCTCAGTCCCTTACTGGACATCTGTGAAGAACTCCATAGCTCAGTGGATTCCTTCTCCTTCAGTTGCTAAATACAGATCCTCATTGAATGCGTTACACGTGAAATAACTGTAGTGTAGTAGCATTTGAAATGAGTTAAGAGTCGGCGATCACTCACCTCGCGGTGATTTTGTGACGATGGCCTCTGATATAGCGGGATGTGCTGTTGCTGCTGTTTCTGTGAAAAAGCAGCTGGGAAACTGCACGCAACACACAAATAAATAACTCAGGAAAATAACGTAACAGTTTTACTTTTTAAGAAAACGAAATTTCTAAACTCAAAAGGTTTCACCTTTGACATCTCCTCTGTCAAATACCTAGGGATAAGGTATTATTTATACACCTCCGATTAGCACGCTTGGCTACGTACGGTGCAAAAGAAGTTAAACATACATACAACTAACGTAAAAGATAAGAACCGCTCGCCACCAGGTGGCAATAAAGTCACCACAGAGCCTGTGGCAGGCTAGGTGCACCTTGAAGCCACATGGGTTGATTGATGAGTGAGATGACTGGCAAAAGCACCTACTGTTCCCCCTACTCTGTCAAATTTCTGCATTTCATCCGCCCGGCGCTCCACTAATTGTTGTGAGCATCACTTTTCTGTGTTCCGTTGTTGTTGGAGGGAGACTGCCTCAAACTGCCCAGTAGCGCCACTTACGAACCTCCTCCACAGAGGCCGATTTTGACATCGCTGGTACCAGCCATCGGCAAGTCCACTGAGCTCCATATCCTCCTTCCTGTGACTCATCAGTCTATCTCTTCTCTAGCCTGTGCCATGCCCATTTAGTCCCCTCTATCCAGCCAAACAGTATTTGCTTTCACGTTCACACAGAGCATACACACAACCATTAAACACTACTATATTCACAAATATTATACATACTCATTATACACGTGCACACGAAGCACACTGACACAATATACATGCATGATAGGCATCAAATACACTTCACCCAAACACAATATACATGCACATTAAATACATCACACAGAACACTACACACAACAGCTGCCATTCGCCACTAAGTGGCGGTGATGTCACCACGGCGCTTGTGCCAAGCTATGTGCACTGAGGCCATGTGAAGCGTCGAAGGCCCGCTGGCAGGTCACAGGGCAGACCCAGGTGCCATGGTTTGACTGAGATGACCAGGAGATACACACACTGTTGGGGCACTTGCTGGTACGTGAGTAGCATCACTTATGAAGGTCAGAAAGGCACGCGAGGGTATGGGTGGCCAACATCATGCCCGGCCGCCTTTGACTCCCATGTGGCGATGTTTACACACTGCACCAGGGTACGCACTTACGGCTGAGTCGCGCTAGAAAAAGGCCCAGAACCGGTTCAGATAATCGTCACTGGTGTTGTTGGTGATGGCCCTGAGTGGGACTCAACTCGGGTTTCTCCCGGGTTCGAAGCACCGTGCGCTAACCACTGCGCCACCGCGCCCCCACAATCTCACAAACAGACACACCATGATAAGACGGACAGGAGGCAGTTAAGAGTGAAATAATTCAGTCCTGGCCCCATTGTCCATTCGAGATAATACTATCTCGAACATTTACATCACAGAGCAACAGGGCAGTAGAATGGCAGTGGAAAAAAAGAGTTATATAGCTCAGTGGGCCTTAACTGATAAAATAAAAAAATATATAGTAAAATGAGCTTCTTAGCTCAATCAACTTTACTCGGGAAACACACTTCCTAACTTATGAACGCAGCTGCAAGATCAAACCCCCCTCTTGCAAAAAAACAGGCAATGCCCTGATGAAAAAGAGACGTATCAAGGCTCTCCTCGGCGACTTAAAGCTATCAGTCAGGCTATGGATAAATTAGACGGAAAAAAATCAGAGAGTATGGATCATTGCATGCACGAAAACTTAAGATTAAGATCTAGATTTAAAAAAAAATCAGTGAAGAGCAGCAGGCCAGCCCTACACGACTAGGCCCCGCGTTGTAACGCGTTCACGTTAACCCAGACTGTTGCTTCTCAATTGATATCCCTACGAAAGAAGCCAGAAGCGAGGCTTTCCACAATAAAAAAAAAACTTCATAGCAACAACAACAATAATAATAATCACAAGCGGTGCCATGTAAACGTCGCACCTGGGATTGCAGTGGCGAGCAGAACCGCGGCGTTGGCTTCACTTCCGGGGTCTTCTCGTGACGTCACGCGGTGACGCATGGGGAAAGGGGGTCCCTGGTGACGTCAGGAGCCAGGGGGGGGGGGAGGGGCGACTAAAGACAAGTTTCGTTTCAAATTTCATTTATTAGGTGCTAGCGGGAAGTACCCGGCTTCGCCCGGGACTTGGATTCACCACACCCGGCCGCCTTTGTCTCTCTAGTGGCGATGTTCACACCACGCCGGTTATTTGTAGTGTAGTGGTTAGCGTGCTGCGCTAGGAACCCGGCGACCCGAGTTCGATTCCCTCTCACGGCCACCAACGGTGATGATTATTTGAACCGGTCCTGGGCCTCCCCTAGGTCTACTCAGCCTCAAACGAGTAACTGGTGTGGTCTGAACATCGCCACTGGGGAGACAAAGGCGGCCGGGTGTGGTGAATCTAAGTACGACCAAACTTGCAGCCATAGCAGGCAGCATGACACTCCCAGTGTATGATGTGTGAGTGAGTCAGTGGTAGTGTGAGTGAGTATGCACCTATGACGGTCACGACACACAAAGGGGTGGATGGGCACCACGCTCGGACGACCGCCGTTGGCTCCCCCCTCCTCTCCAACCTGCTCCCCCCGCCCTCTCCTCTCACCAACACCTCATCTCCTACATCCCACCTCTCACCCCCTCCTCTCCAACCCATCTCTCCTCTCGGTAAAATCACGTAGATAGGTAAAACAAATATTGTTTTTTTTACCTATATACGTGATTCTTTGGTTCTTTTGGTGAAGTCACGTAGATAGAAAAATTATAATAAAGATTAAGTTAATAAAAATAGAACCAGGCTACAGTCTACACTTTATTTTTTCATTCTTATTTTTCTATCTACGTGACTTTACCGAAAGAACCAAAGAATATTAATTCCTGCAGTCACGAAAGCTTTAAGTCACGATTTCTGCCCCTTCCTGGCCAACCCCCCTCCTCTCACCACCCCCCTCCTCTCCCAAATGATCCCCTCCCCTTCCTCTCCTACCCCCTCCCCACCTGTCCCACCTTCTCCCCGCCCCCCTCCTCTCCCACTCCCTCCTATCCCACCACCCCTCCCCTCCCAGCCACCTACTCCTTCCCCCTTTGTGCCCACTGACCGACAGTTTCGAGTTAGAATTGTAGTATGCGATGCGAGACCGAACGGACTAATTTCTCTGTTATGATGTGCCTTTTATTTTTGCTCCGTCTTTATTTGCGTATTCATTTTTAATTTAGCTTGGAAGAAGGGTTTTTATTTGCTTGGGAATAGCCATGTATAGGATTTGGTCTTCAGGTATAAAAAAAATATACAGAACTATGGGATGTAATTAGCATGAATGACCACACATACAATGAAAATAGTGTAGTACTCTGTTGTATATATAGGTGTTATGAAAATTGATGAAAATAATGAAAATAAATGAAATTTGAAATTTGCATAATTTATCCGAAATTATGTTAATCAGTGTGATTATGCGCATAAATTATGCTGATTCCAGAGATAATTGTATTAATTTATGCGAGTGGGCGTGGTTATGATAATGCAGGTCGTTATGGATTATCAGGTCGAGCCTCGGTGACGAGGATTGTGTTATGAATTGGAATAACGCAATTAATCGTATGCAGTGACGCAGGCGTTGTGAGCGTGAATGAGAGAGAGTCGATTCGACTCTGCTCTTTAATTCCGTATTATCGATAAGAATACGATTACTCTCGATTGAACATTACGGATTATGTGTGTTATGGATTATGTGTGGTGATAGTGTGCTTATGATAGGTCCCCAGGATTCAGATCCCATACGCAGAACAATATTATGCAGAATTTCAGGAAGAATCACACACAAACCTTCTGATTTAATCAATTTTATTTCTAGCTAACTTAAATTTTTGGATAATATGAAAACTCAATCTCGGGATTTTGGAATTTCAACACAGCGTGAACATGATACCATCACGATTACGTTGTTTCACCTCGATAGCGGCACCTGTGGTTAATTCCCGACGCGTAACGCAATCGATCGGTTGTTGAGAGAGAGATTAAAAACATGCGAACTATTCTATCAAAACCTTAACCTTATAATATGCAAACTCGTATTCTTGAATGATTACACAACACGGCACTCGGCCTTTGATTCGTATCCAATCCTTAACACATTCTGATATGCGAAATTATGCTTGAAATCGTCAGCACAGTACCACGGCGATGTTCGTTCATTGATTCATCAACGATTATGCAATTAAAGCGTTCGACTGAAATAATTCTGATTGCCTCATCAACGTAACTCAATGGGTGGCGATGTTTTTCGTTATCAGCTAATAGTTGACGCAGTTATCATGAGTCTTGTATGTTTAATGGGAGGGTTGTTGATTTCTTGCGTTGAGCAAACGCCTAGGTTGATTTCCTTGTCAAAAAAAATGTTTGTTCGTTGTGTAGCGGTGGGGGAGTGAGGAGGGGGAGAGTGTGGGGGGGCATACGAACGACTGCCAGTTTCTGTCCACCGCTGGCTGGATGAGTCAGCATGACGCTCGCCGTCGTCGCGCCGATGGGTGTTGAGTGCAGGACCGCTGCCCTCTCAGCGCTGGTGACGCGAAGTTGCGCACTGTAGCACGCTGGTGGCGCGCGCTCCCTCTCCTTGAAGATGCGCGAACGCGCCCGTGCTGATTCGCTGATAGCAGTTTCTCTCCACTGCTGGCTGAGCTGCTGCACGCTCTTGCTTGGCGTTGCTGGCCACGCTCTTTCTCCTTGAAGATGCGCGAACGCGCCCGTGCTGATTCGCTGACAGCAGTTTCCTCCACTGCTGGATGAGCTACGCCGGCGCGCGCTCTTTCCGCTGCTGTAGTATCTGACGCTGCGCTCGCGAGCGACAGGTCAAGTTTTTCTTCTGCTGAGTGAGCCGAGTCGCACGCGCTCTCTTTGTTGAGGTTGTTGGCGGCTCTCTGACAGCAGGTTTCCTCCACTGCTGTATGACTCAAGTCGCACGCGCTTGGTCACTGGTTTGCTGAAGTTGTTGGCGGCTGCCCAAGCTTTTCCGCTGCTGGTTGAGCCACGTTGCACGTGCTTGCTTTGTGGAGATGCTCGAGCGCTCTCAGTGCTGATTCGCTGATACTTTGTTGGCGGCTGGCCAAGCTTTTTCTTCAGTTGAGTGAGTTGAGTCGCACGTGCTCTCTGTTGAAGTGCGCGAACGCGTCCGTGCTGGTTCGCTGACAGCAGGTTTCCTCCACTGCTGTATGACTCACTTTTGTTGATACATCGCGACTCAGCGATCCTCGCTACTCAGCGAGGCTCGGAGCCAGCCGCTCCATGCGACTGCTCGTCCTGTGGACGTCTTGACTCGCTGATCTGTCTTGACTCTTGACTTAACTTCACTGACTTTTGAAAATGCGGCCGACCGTTATATTCAAAGACAATTCTCTCTGCGCAGTGGAAAAGGGGGGGGGGGGGGGGGGGCGGGGTCTGTGTGTGAGTTCGTGTGTGTGTGTGTACAGATGGCTCCTGCGATAACGATCTGTTTGCCCTGGCGTGCAATTCCTCTCTCGCGCTCTTCGGGAGAGACAAAGGTGGTCGGGGTTGCTTGGGATATTGTTTAAACTCTTTCGTAAGTTTGCCCGTTCGCCTCATTCCTTCTCGATAACCTTTGATGTGACTCGGTATTCCTGCTCCAAGCTTTGTTTTAACAGTAAAAGTATTAAAGGTGAAAATCATTTGATAGCGAATTAATTATTGGATAATAATTTACTGATGTATCTGGTGGCCTGGTCTTAATTGGAGTGAGCGCGAGGACCGCTAACTTTAGCTTATTCTTGTTATTGCATTTTAATTTTGAACCGTTGTTTTAATGACAGAGGAAAATATATATATGGTTTAACCCGTGGGCGTCCTCGTTTCTGGCTTGCGATGGGCTTCCCTCTGCGTGACCTCCCTTAGGGCACATCAAACTCTTGTTCATCTGGAGATCTTCGCAGATAGCTGCTAACATCCTCGCCTCGAGAGTTTTATTATTTCTTTATTTTTTTAATGGTCTGTTTATGACCGACATCTGGTTTTTCGTGTTTCTGGCTTACGGGTTTTATTCATTATTAAAAAAATATATATTGTTTGTCACGAAAGAAAGGAAAAAGAAATCTATGTGTATGCATCCGTAAATATTCTTATGGATATTAATTGTGGAAAAAGGGCCGTATACAACAACTCCCCGAGTGTTATTGAGATTAGGAACGGTGGTCAATACCCTGTATATAATGTCCACGTTGGTTGTTATGCGTTAAAAGTGTTGTCTCCAAGTTGAGTGTGCGCCTCAATTGAACCCACTACACTGCTACTGTAGTACTGCAATAATGTAGTGCTGGTCCTGTAGTACTGTGGTACATGGCGTGCCTTCCTCCTCACTCTTTGTTCCGACAGCTTTGTGTGCGTAGTGTCATCTCACTCCCTAACATTTTCACTCGCCATATCTCTCTCACACACTTTATATTGAAATAAATAACACATAGCACATTTATAGAAATACTACATAAACACAACACATTTGAAAAGAAACATGTAAAACAGTGTCCTGTTGTCAAATAAAACCAATAATAAAATCCCGGGTTGAAACGCCACACCCACCTTTACCGTTATTTGGGAGAAATTACTCCTCCCACTTAACGTGAATTCACTTTACGTGACAATTTTCATGAAAACAGTCCCCTTGTTAAGCAGGGACCAGCTGTGTTTGGTGGTTGAGTGAAATAAAATATATTTTTAAAACCTTTTTTAAAATACGCTTTTATGAAATGTACTAAAAAAATGTAAAATAAATATTTTCTGTTCAAGTACTTTGCATTATTGTTTCATATACTCTTGCTGTAACCGATTCTAAATAAAAGCGTCAGGCGCGCGTACTATTTTTGAGCAAATGTCTGTATTCACTATGGGAAGTAAGTGTTCATATCTTGTTAATGTTGTAATTTGAACGTAAAGGTTTTAAGCCGTTTATT